CTCCCCAGACCCAAACCCAGACCCAGACCCCCACAGATGACGCGGCCCTGGAAACTGAAGAAGGAGGAGAGCTGGTCACAGAACAGGTGAGCCTCATCACACACAGTACCCAACATTACTACATACAGTGTGTAACTACAGTGCTGCAGGCAGATGGTGACACCTGCTGGTCTGAAGGAGTATTACAGCACACTCAGTGTAAACAGACTCTTCTCTCAGGGTTGTTTCTCTCACCTGCACAAAACTCCTCAAATCACCCAGAATCTGTGCAAACACACCACTCAAAAACTCAAAAGCAGCATGACGGCTTGCAGAACGTTTCCTCACATTTGAATTGCCCCCCGGGGACAAATAAAGTTTTTTAAATTGAATTGACTTGAACAGACTCATGAACAGTGGAGACTGGTCATCATATCATAATGATGGTTTGAAGATGTGATCCAGCTGCAGGTTTCATCATTTCAAAGAGGTGTGATTTGTGTCCCTCTCTCTGTAGGAGGACGAGGCAGACGATCCAACAGCCTCACATATCTCCTCTCTGATCGCATCTCTTATGACGAGCAACACCACTCCTCTCGTCACAGAACGTCTGAAAAACACCTCTGCAGGTAACAGCACTCCTACTGGATGGGAGGAGGGACTGCAGCAGCTGGTGCTGAAGCAGGAGTTACGGCACCAGGTGCTGGCCAACATCTGCTCCAAATACCAGCTGGGCTCCTGGGACCAGGTTGTCTCCAAAACACACATGTCTATGATCCATGTGGAGGACCAGTCCAGGCTGCTGTACTGTGAGGTTCCCAAAGTCGGCTGCTCCAACTGGAAGCGGGTGCTGATGGTTCTGGCAGGCCGAGCCACCTCTGTACTCAACATCCCTCATGTGACGGCACACTTCAAAAACAAACTGCGGAAACTGGAGGAATACGGCCCAAAGGGCATCAACCAGAGGCTGAACACCTACACCAAGGTGCTGTTTGTTAGGGATCCTTTTGAGCGACTGGTGTCAGCATATCGAGACAAGTTTGAGAATAAAAACGATTACTACCATTCTCTGTTTGGACGGCCCATCATCTCCAGGTACCGCGCCAACCCCTCACAAGAAGCCCTGCGCACCGGTGATGGTGTCACCTTCAGGGAGTTTGTGCACTACCTGCTGGACCCGCAACGTCCAGTGGGGAATGACATCCACTGGGCAAAGATGAGCACTCTGTGTCCACCTTGTGTGATCCAGTATGACTTCATCGGCAAGTTTGAGAACATGAACAGTGAAGCCAACTTCCTGCTGCGGAGCATCGGAGCACCACAGAACCTCAGCTACCCCGACTATAAGGACAGAAACCCTGAGGACGAGAGGACGCACTCCTCCATCATGAAGAAATATTTCTCCCAGCTGAACGCCACTGAGAGGCAGGGAGTCTACGACTTCTACCGCATCGACTACGAGATGTTTGACTTCCCCAAACCCCTCCAAGACCTGCACTAAGAACAATGCTCTGAAGCCATGTTGAACCTGGACCTCTTAAACAGCTGGACTCCTGGGAGCTCTCTATTTACCCATAATGCAGCTGGTGTGACAGGAACATGGCATCCTGTTTGGTTTTATTCTGAACATACCTGACACCCCCCTGTGGACGTAAAGATGTACTACAGTGTGTATTTTCTTTGTCTTTTAAAGCCATGAGGAGTGGAGCTGTTGGGTCTCTGACTCAAGGGATTTGTCAAATGTTTCACATTTTCTAGTTTGAGAGAAAAGAAGCACCTTCAGCTTTGTTCCCTGTAATGACTTCTGTTACAGTTTACACGTCCACATTAAGATGCCAGATGAGCAGGAAGTCAGAGACAAAGTTTCACTGAACGGCTTCAACATCATTTAATAGAAGTCTTTTTCCTCCAGACTCTGAACCCGAGCTGAAGGTTCACTTTGAGACACTGCAGTTTGAGTGTGAAACAGAAGAGGACGTGTTTCTCCTTCCTGTTTCGTAATTTTCTCTTCACAAAAACTGTGTGTTTACAACCGTCTGTTACGAAGAGGAAGAATTAAAGTTAGTCTTTTTATTGATCAGTCCTGATGACCTTTGGACGACCTTGACGCCTTAACACTGCCATCTCACCTGCAGCTTGACACCTGGGTTTGTGATTAACATACTTTACATAATGCTCGTCTGTTTATATCCTCAGAGATGAGTTGATTCAAACTGTTGTTTTCAAACTGCAGATAAACAAGAATCACAGAAAAGATTATTGGTTTGGGTTGTGGAGGTTGAACATTTGACACATTTAAAGATCTGATGTTTGTTTCTTACATTGTAAGTTCTGATTGATATCCAGGTCAGGTTGCGGTGGCAGCAGGTTCCTTTGCAACCTTTTCTAGCTCTTTCTGGGGGATCTGAGGCATCCCCAGACCAGCAGGCTCAAGGTCTACACCACCCACCTCCCAGTTGGACGTGTCCAGAAGTCCTCCAAAGGGAGGCGACCAGGAGCTCTGTAGCAAGTCTGATGGAACACAATTGATGCACTCTTCATTCCACGCTGTGATTTTTAATGTAACTTAAGATGTTTTCATGCTCTGCCTCTACCTGCGATGTGATGTGATTGTGATTTGAAGATTTCTGAGCTTGTAATGAAAGATAAATGTCTGTGCTAATGGACAATAATGTCTTATCTTAAGCTGCCCGTGGTTTTCTTCTATCTAATGGCGTGCGTCCTACCCATGTACGTATTGCAGATTGGATACAGCATTGGAGGCGGAGCCTTGTTCCTTCCCATAAAGCTGCTCAGTGGCGCATGAAGCAAAGAATAATGTAATCTTCTGGTTTATAGACATCTCTTTCCCAATGTAAGCTTGTGGGAAAAAATGATTTTTGGGCCCAATTTAACACAAGGCGCTGCAATACCAGGTTCAGCCACCATGTCAAATTGGCTTCAACGGTCGGCGCAATTCCTGGGGGGCTTGGCCCGAGCCCACTGGGTCTGTTTCCAAAGCATAAGTGCAGCCATGAGCAACTGGACTCCTGGGTTCACAGGAGCATAGCTGACATGCTGTTTTTACAGCAGAGATTAACATGTTTACAGCCTGGTTCAAAAAACAAATAGGTCTGATTAGCTCATGTCTCGATCGACACACTGTACGGGGGGTGAATGTTTTGATGACTCATCAGTTTTGATTTGATGAAGGATGAGAGTTATTCACAATAAGGCGTGCAGCTGAGATGATTGACAGGTGGACGCGGTGTAACGGTTTGTCAGGAGGCTTAAAACCCGCCTCAGCTCCAGCTCTCAGCCTGTCGTTAGGTTGACTGAAAGTTAGACTGAGACAGCATTTCCAGCATGGAGACCGCCATCGATGGGACTCCAGCGCCCCCTGCAGGAACAGACGGAGGACGTCACTCAGGCTTCAAACATTCATATTTATATGATTGAGCCTGATGTTGGGTAGTCATGATATATTTACTATGACCTTGGTTCCTTGTTTTTATTCTTACCTGGTGGCCATGTTTGCACACAATTAGTAAGTTGTTGTATTTTTGATTTACCTTGAGATGAGGACACAGACTGATCAAGTTAAATCTGATCTGGATTTCAGGAGGTTTAGGAACAAAGACTTCTTTGTGTCTGAGTCGCCTCAGTGTGTCTGTCACCTCTCCATAGATTCTCAGGGAGTCTCGCTCTACATGCCCGAAGGGGTAAATCTACTGCCCCCCCAACCCTCCATGTCTTTGTCTTACAGAGACGGCCTAAGAGGAAACATCACTGCTGCTGCTCAGTCTCAATTCTCCTCTGTATCTCACACACACACACACACACACACACACACACACACACACACACACACACACACACACACACACACACACACACACACACACACACACACACACACACACACACACACACAGCTGTTTGCATGATGTAAACATCTGTGTGTCTCCGTGCCTTTTAATAAGGCAGTTTTTTCTTACCACTGTAACTTTTGCTGCTTTATTAAAGTGCTCATGATGGATAGGCCGGGTCTTTGTAATATAGCAATAAGTAAGGTCTTTTTACCTGTTCTTTTGTAAAGTGTCTCGAGATAACACTTGTTATGAGTTGACGCTATACAAATAAAAATTGATTGATTGATTGAGAGGGGACCTAACAGCATTCAGGGGACCTCACAGCATTCAGGGGACCTAACAGCAATCAGGGAACCTCACAGCATTCAGGGAACCTCACAGCAGTCATGAGACCTCACAGCATCCAGGGGACCTCACAGCATTGATGATCATCCTCACCCTCCTCATCATCATCATCGTCACAGGGTCGCTTTTGAACCAGATTTTTACATCTGTTTCACGGCAACATTAAAAGAATTCCTACGTACCAAATATTCGGTCATTTCTTGTTTCAAATTTGCAGACAAACTCCTACACACGGTCTAAACACCCGGATGTGTTGAAATCATAGATTCCACAGAGAGCGGCGAGCACCTCGGGCACGTTTAGGAGATATTTAAATCTTTAAATTCTGAACATGATTCCTCGTTTTCATCTAATTAAAGTAACTGCAGGCTTTCTTTAATTAGAGAGAATCCACACACTCTGCTGGTTACATCTGCTGGGGGGGCTGCCTGCGGCCCGTGTGTGTCAGTGAGTGCGTGTGTGGGTTCAGCGCCTCTTTAAAGCAAGTCTTCGTGTCATTGACCTCAATTACACACATCAGTTTCCCATCAGCCCCTGTTCTATCACAGGCCTTCACAGGGAAACCCCGAGTACAGTACACCAAGGGGGGAGGGGGGGGGGGGGGGGTGAACACTGACTTAAACTTCAGTATAAACAGAGTTTTATTTTGACTCTCAGCTCTTTCTTTGTGTCATTTTTTCAGAATAAAAGCCTGATGAGAGAGAAAATTCAAGTTTAAGGCTTTATTTACATCTACATCAGTTTGGTTTATCTACGGTGGCCCAGATAAACCAAACACTAGTTCAGCCTTTGAGGGCCAGCATGAGGTCTCCTGCATGTTAGGTGAAGAAGCTCAGCTGGGTGCAGTCTGTACACTCACCACTAGGTGGCACTACATCCTTCATACTGCTCCTTTAAAGTGAATCATTAAAGTCTGAATAATTATCCTTTTCTATCTCAATTCACAAAGCTTTCAGTCTGAAGAGATCAAAGACGACATGACGAGGATTTCAGCTTAACTAAAATCAGAATATTTATTATATCTTATATAAAACCAGAAAGTCATGCATTTATAAAACAGGTGACTGTTTCTTTAAGGAGATGGAGGTGAGGAGCAGAACCTTCCCTGACCTCCTGACTAACTTTTATTTATTTAGTATCATTCATCAGTTTGATCAGATCGATGCTGAGAGCAGCTGACACACAGATGATGAAGGGATTGATTTAGAGGAGACTGTGGGTGTGTGTATGTGTGTGTGTATGTGTGTGTGTGTGTGTGTGTGTGTGTGTGTGTGTGTGTGTGTGTGTGTGTGTGTGTGTGTGTGAGGATGAAGGTGACAGTCAGCAGCACTCTCTGCGTAAAGGCGCGGACTCAAAATGGTTCCTGCAGGAGGACCGGACTTCTCCTGAATGTCTCTCCTTTCGTCTCTCTGAGCAGCAGCAGACAGAACAGAAGGACACATTATGCAGACAGATGAGCAGAATAAACCGGATCTGTGCGCGCAGCCTCGCGGCGCACATCTCCATCTAGCAGCGCGCGATAATTGAAATGGCGCATTGTGCCTGCGGCTGCTGGAGCGGCAGAATGCATGACGATAGACGTCATTTGGCTCCAGAGCCGGAGGGATGTTTGATGTTAAAATACAGGAGCAGACCGGGAGGAGGAGGGGGGGGAGCGCAGTGCGGACAGGAGGACACACTGAAGACTCTGCTGAGGACACAGAATAATGCTCACGCCGCTGATGGATGTTTGATTCTCCGGATAAATCATCGCTCAGCTCCCTGGCGGAGGAGCTCTGCAGGCGGGGCAACGAGTAACGAGTCCGGGCGGGAGAAGAGAAGAGAACAAACCGGCCGCGTTATTGCATCCTAATCCTGCCCCCCGGGGGTCTGAAGGGCCCCGGGCCAGACTTCCCTTTCAGCCCTCCTCTTTATTCTTTCAGAGGAGACACGGACGGGCCTGATTCGCTATTACTACACACACACTCACACACTTACTCGTCGGAGGAGACCCAGGCAGCCTGACGCGGACGTGTGCTGAAGAAGAGCCGGTATCATCGCACTAAATCCTCGGGACGCAGCAGACAGACGCCGGTCTCCATGTCCTCTGTGTCGGTCTCCTCTCAGGTAAGCACGCGCTGCAGGAAAACCGCGAACAGTCTCATGGGAGATTGGGAGAAAAAGATTCAAGATTCAAAAATACAAACGGATAAACTAAAATTATGATCACACTCCCAAGTTACGATCAGCACCGTCAGTGCGCGCTTCCTCCAGTGCTGCCAAATCCCATTTAAAATATGACTGTTTTATCTTTTCGTGGTAATCGTTGCTCATTTAATTTCTGATTAATATAATACTTCCATGTTAGGTTACAGTGTGACTAAGTGATGAATTCGGCATACATTATGGTTTAAAATCAGACTAGTTCAACAAATCGAGCTCTTTGACTGTCAGCGGACATGACGGCAGGAAAACAGACGAGCCGTGTCAGACGGCGGAAACAAAATAAAGTTATAGAAACTTAGTTGAAATTCATGGTCAATTGATACCCCGAATTTACTAAAAGGCTTTGAACTTCAGAGCAAATCGCTTAAATGAGGATCAGGAGACACTGACCCTCGACGATAAGCGAGATCACGTTAAATGATGCAATTTCTTAACGGAGTCTGGCGCGAGGTGGCGTTTCCACATAGGAGAGGTCTCTAGGAACATATGATAGAATATAAAGTCATCAGAAACATGGAGCCTGCTCACATCAGCTGGGGTATAGGTCTCACTCAAGGTGAATGTTTGACTTATCTGTTGTTTAGTGTTTAAAGACCTGTCAATCAAAGTGAGTGACAGCAGCTCCTGTTTTTACCTGTGGCTCACATTTAAACACATCCTGCAGATTAAAAGTCTCAACCCTGACAATATCTGTGCCTGTGGAGCCTGTAATCAGAAGACAGCAGCTCTCTGTTATTTATGTGATTCTTTGCACACTATCTGGTGAGGTGTGTTCAGCAGCAGAAGCAGCAGACAGGGGCGGAGGAGAGCCCAGCGTGTTTGTCAGTTTGACCCCCAGGGCGTGTGCATGCCTGCGGGGCAGAGACGGAGCAGAGCCCGCCTCCTGTTCACCTTTCATGCTTCAAAGCTCCTCTTTACATCCAGAGTCTGTGAGAGGGAGGGGAAGGGGTCAATTAATCCAGAGTGAGGCTGCCCCCCTCAGGTCATCAGCAGCCTCCGTTTCAGCCTCCCCCCCTTTCCCCCCTCAACCCACGCCCCCACCCCGACATCATTATAACAGCCATGAAACCTGGACGGTAAAGAGGGACATTTTAACATAGGGCTCTATGGGGACTGACTCACTGCAGGAGACAGACTCTAGTGGACACTGGAGGAACTGCAGTTTTTTTGGCTTCAGTTTTCACTCCGGCAGGTATACTCTTGGTTCTGATCCATGTTCAGCTCAGGTGTGTTCTCACCTTGTTGTTGTCCTTTCCTGTGACAGGAGGGGCGGAGCATGTCCAGGATGTCTCTGAGCCGTTCACCTGTGTCCCCCATGACCGCTCAGGGAATCCCATCCCCTGCTCAGCTCACCAAATCCAACGCCCCAGTCCACATCGACGTGGGGGGGCACATGTACACCAGCAGCCTGGCGACGCTCACCAAATTCCCAGAGTCCAGGTAAGATCTGTACCACCTTCACCTGTACTGTAGGAGAAGTAAAAGGATGTATCTTTGTGATCATCCAAAGTGTTTAAACTGTATTTTGAAAGAACTGAAACTCTGCAGCAGGTTCAACATTAAAGTGTCTCTCTAAACAAACTTCACTTTACGTTGGAAAAGTTTCTGTAAACGGGAAAACACTGACCACAGTGCTTCACTAATTATTTCCTTTTACGTTAATTTTTAGCATCTTCAGTTCACCTCCATAGTTAGCTAGGTGGGCCTTCACTTTGACAGTTTAGAGAGGTGGCTTTCCAATGAGTGGGCGTGGCTTTGGCACATTCAGTGTACACGCCCACAGCCTCCAAGAGAAGAGACAAGTGCTCAGTTTTCATGATTGGAATCTTCATTATACTTTTCCAACTTTCACGAGTGGTTCAGTGTAGTTTTGTTGGGCACTATTTCCACGTGTTGTCTTAGCAGGAAGACGTGTGTGTGTGTGTATGTGTGTGTATGTGACTGACTCACATTAAACTGCTGTGTGTGTGTGTGTGTGTGTGTGACTGACTCACATTAAACCGCTGTGTGTGTGTGTGTGTGTCCTCCTCCTCTCTGTAGGATCAGTCGTCTGTTTAACGGCACTGAGCCCATCGTGTTGGACAGTCTGAAGCAGCACTACTTCATCGACAGAGACGGAGACATCTTCCGCTACATCCTCAGCTTCTTGCGGACGTGCAAGCTGCTGCTGCCCGAAGATTTCAAGGTGACTCACAGGACAGAAACCCAAAAAGACGGTCCACTAAAAGTTGTTGCTGTTGTCCCTGACAGGCTGCAGTTGTTATTCTAAGTGTGTGACATCATCACAGAAAGGATCCCTACAGAGAGAAAGCTTTTCGTTTTGAACCTCAAACAGCTGTGACATCACTCTCCACTAACAATACAGAGTCACAGAAACACAGGTTTGACCTCTCAGGACTCAGCAGCTGCAGAGTCACTGTAACAACATATTAACTCATTAGCTTCTTTTGCTAATGTTAGCATTCAACCAACTAGTAAACATGGATGTATTATAGACGTGAATATAGCGTTGGAGTGTGTGTGAGAGAGAGAGTGTGTGTGTGTGTGTGTGTGTGTGTGTGTGTGTGTGTGTGTGTGTGTGTGTGTGTGTGTGTGTGTGTGTGTGTGTGTATGTGAGAGAGAGAGAGAGAGAGAGCGAGTGAGATGTGTGTGTGTGTGTGTGTGTGAGAGAGAGAGTATGTGTGTGTGTGTGTGTGAGAGAGAAAGAGAGAGAGAGAGAGTGAGTGTGTGTGTGTGTGTGTGTGTGTGTGTATGTGAGAGAGAGAGAGAGAGAGCGAGTGAGATGTGTGTGTGTGTGTGTGTGAGAGAGAGAGTATGTGTGTGTGTGTGTGTGAGAGAGAAAGAGAGAGAGAGAGAGTGAGTATGTGTGTGTGTGTGTGTGTGTGTGTGTGTGTGTGTGTGAGAGAGAGAAAGAGAGAGAGAGAGAGTGAGTATGTGTGTGTATGTGTGTGTTGAAGCTGGAGCTTTTGATTTCTTTGTTGCAGCAGCGACACTTTGAACTCTGCAGATTCTGACGCTGTGATGAGCGCCGCCGCCGGCTGCACGATTCGATAGATTGTCGAGTGTGTGTTTTATTAAATTAATGTCTGTGTGTGTGTGTGTGTGTGTGTGTGTGTGTGTGTGTGTGTGTGTGTGAAGGGGGGGGGGCATGAGGTATATTGCATCTCACCTCCTCGCTGTAGTTAGTGAGTTCTGCCTCATTTATTCTGCTCAGGATGAATAATACGCCCGCAGACACAAACCAGCTTTATAAAACACATCTACCCACCCTCAGCCCCCCCACACAGTGCAGGGGAAGGGGGGGCGAGGCTTTGATAGTGTGGAGCCCTGGGCCAGCAGCAGCTCAATGTCAGGATCAGTGTGGAGGAGAAAGCGGCAAGGAGAGGAGCGTCATCCTCACAAACACATGTATATGGTATATCTTTGAGTGACAGTTCACACTTCTTTAACGGGCTCCTGGTGGAGGCGCTACAGCACTCGTCTACGTTTAAAACCTTTGAAATATCTACGAGTGCAACGACTGTGCATCCTAAATGTAGGACAAACCAACCACACAACTTTATAACTGACAGACCAGCAGCAACCTCCGGTGATGAAGAGTAAAATCCTGCAGTTCCTCAAGTGTCCACTAGAGGCTGGCTGCAGAAGCCCAGGAAGTCACATACACACCCATTCTAAAAAGCCTGTTTTTACAGCAGAGATTAACACGCTGGTTCAAAAAACCAAATAGGTCTGATTAGCTCATGTCTCGATCGACACACACTGTACGGGGGGGTGAATGTTTTGATGACTCCAGCGCCCCCTGCAGGAACAGACAGGTGACTCACTCAGGCTTCAGTAATAGTTACAGTCTGTGGTCAGAGCTCACAGTGCATCGACATGTTTCACTGTAGAAAGAAACAAACTCTTAAGTAGTTAAAAGGTTCTGTGTGGCACAGATCATCTTTATTGACTTCGCCCCCTCTGCCTCCTTCAGGACTTCCCCCAGCTGTACGAGGAGGCTCGATACTACCAGCTGAGCCCCATGGTGCGAGAGCTGGAGCGTTGGCAGGCCGAGCGGGAGGCAGAGCGTGTGTCGCCCTGCGAATGTCTGGTGGTCCGAGTGACGCCAGACCTGGGCGAAAGAATCGCTCTGAGCGGAGAGAAAGTCCTCATCGAGGAGATCTTCCCCGAGACCGGAGACGTCATGTGCAACTCTGTGAACGCCGGCTGGAACCAATCCTTTAAAGATGAAAGTTATTCTCAAAGTGTCTCAGCCCTTCAGAGAGCTGCTCAGGTGTCAAACTGTGAGGAGCAGTGAGTAGGACATTTAACAGAATGAAGAGTTTCTCAAGCTGAGGAGAAAACTAAAATGACTAAAATGATTCATGTAGGCATTTCAACCTGTCTCTGACTTTGTTCAGTCCAAGTGAGACATGTTGAGTTCCTCTACATGAGGTCATCTCCACAGGTGCATCACATCACTGATTAGGCAAGGCAGGTTTATTTAGAACATTTCAACAACAAGGCAATTCAAAGCGCTTCACACAAGACATCAAAAGCATCATGACAGAGGAAAGAAAAGAAACATTAAAATAGACAATTTAAAAAACTTTCACAATCACAGATTCAATCTGAAAGACTCTCTACCTGCTGAGTAACGCTCAGCAGGTGGAGAAGCTGCTCAGACCCTTCATATTTACAATAATTGCACAATGTATGACTAAATTCTATGATTTACTTTTTTTCCAAATTTTTTTTCCAATCTGAAAAAAATGTGTCATATCTAGCAACAGGGTCGACCCGCCTCCTCACTACTTCTAAGTTTCTGTTCTCTTCGTCAGGGAATGACTCCAATCAGAGGCTAAATCATTTTTAACTGAGTTAGGATCTCTCTGAGGGATCCTCAAAATGTTGTGAATACACACCTGTAACACCACACACACCACACACACCTGGAACACACACACCTGGACACGCACACACACCTGGAACACACACACATCTGGAACGCGCGCACACACACTGGAGCACACACACAATGGAACACACACACACTGGACACACCACACACACTGGAACAAACACACACACACTGGACACACACACACCTTGAAACACACACGCACACACACAACACACACACACACACACACACCACACAACACACACACCGGACACCCACAACGCACACACACACACTGGAACACACACACACACCGAACACACACACACCTGGAACACACACACACACACAGGCACACGCACACGCACGCACGCACACACACACGCACACACACACACGGAATACACAAACCTGGAACACACACACACACACCAGGAACTCACACACACACCAGGAACTCACACACAAACTGGAACACACACACACACACACACACACACACCTAGAACACACACCTGTGAGTGATGAAAGCTGATGTATGAATGTAGGTTTAAGCCACACCTCCCTCAGCTTCCCTCAACCCGCTGCTTGTCTGTCCGTCTTTGTCTGCAGGTCCTCGAGCGTCTCTTCCAGAAAGGTTTCAGCTTCAAGGCGTCCTGTGGCGGCGGCGTTGACTCGTCTCAGTTCAGCGAGTACGTCCTGTGTCGGGAACTCCAGCACAGTCAGGCCATCACCAGCACCCCGATCCGGATCAAACAGGAACCTCTGGATTGACCCTGTAAACACCAGTGAGTCACAACATCTGGATCCTGCAAACATCTGCAGCAGCTGGAAGGAACCTGAAAGAAAGCCTTTCAGAATGCCGCCAAGCGTCAGTTTGGATCAATTATTTCTCCCTTGGAGCCTTACGATGACGACGGCGACCCAAATGGACAGAACACTGTGTGTAAATATTTGTGATAAGAATCTGGTTTGACACGAGAAGCCTGACAGCTGAACCACGAGGCGAGTCTCTCAGGTATCATGACGCTGTCGCTCTGAGCACGCTCACATTAAAGACGGCGTTTAATGACATCACTTGAATTCACTGTTCCTAAATGTTTTTCACTCTATAGTCCAGGACAGATAATTCCTAGAGTGAGGATATAATGAGTGTGTGATTTTAGAGAGAACCCAGGTGATAGCTTAGAGTCTGTTGCCATGGTGACAGAGCGTGATTACCCTCTGAGCTGTACTCGTGGTTCACACCCCTCAGCTCGAGCTCTGTGTAACCTGATGAATGAAAAGTTCTTTTTTTATAACAGGGTGAATTATTTAATTCTTTTGATATGACTGCCATTTTGAAAATGTATATTTAAGGTCTTCGTCCGCTTGCTTTGAGTTTATTTGACTTTTGTACAGCTTGATGATAAAAACAGAAACCAAAGCTTCTTTCTCATTTTCTTTATTTCATTTTTTTTGCAAAGGTACAAACAACTGTAAAATTGCATTGCCTGAAATGCGTCAGGATTGAATACAGAATGTAGGAAATATAAATAGTCGCAAAAATTGTGTCCTTCCAACAGATGGCGCTGTGACTGAATATACAGGAGATCCAGCACAGCGTCGCTCAGCTAGAGACTATACAAACCAAATGCCCGATATGAGGGGAGAGACATTTAAAGCGTTAAAAACCTTCAATGTACACACCGCTTTGAATATCCGCTTCAAAACTCTCAAACTGTGAAGATAAACTGCATATTCAACTACTCGGACAGGTTCACCTTCAACGCTACGGGGTCGATGCTTCAGATTGAGACGAGCTGCATGATGAGCTAAAAGTGGCGGGACGAAGAGGAGGAATGTAGTCTGACCTGTGGTTTGTTAGCCTTCATGAACGCAGCCCGAGTGAGTTTGACAGTGTGAAGGAGAACCAGCTCCCTGTGACGAGCAACGGAAACTAAAAAAAAAACTGTAATTCACAAGTTAAAGGCGCAGTTCAACATTTAAATTATCCTCTTCTTCTCTTGATGTTTCAGAATCATGATGCGATCATGTCTGTGAGAACCATGAACAGACAGACAGCACAGGGTTAGCTTCAGTTAGCATAAGCTACTTTAGCTTAGCATAATGCTTAAAAACCAAAAAAGGTTAACCTAAGACTAATGACTGATAATAGATGGAAACAAGCTAGCACTGTCCTTTAATTATCTGGTCATTATGCTAAACTAATCCATCTTTTTTTCACTATTTGTTAGTCTTTATGCTAAGCTAAACTAGCCTTTTCCAGCAGGTTTTAGTCATTTTGCTAGGCTCAAATAGCCTTTTCAGACAGTTTTTAGCCTTCATGCTAAGTGCTAAAATAGCAGTTTCCCTTTATTAGAAGTCATTATACCCAGCTAAGCGAGCAGATTCTTCCATTATCTTGTCATAATACGACAATAAACTAGGGAAAAAGCTACTTCAGATTGGTGTAATGACAAGAAACTGCTAGCTTGGTTTAAAGACTGGAAACACCAAAAACACTTTTTAAATTAGCATAGTGACTATATTCTAGCTGAAAATTGTTTTGAGAATTGCATACTGGCTAACAAATACTTTAAATCAGCAAAATGACAAGAAACTGGAGAAAACTGCTTGTTTAGCTTAGCATAATGCTTAAAAAAGCTGAAAAAGCCAAATGACAGATTACAGACAAGCTAGCAGTTTCCTAAAATGTCTTGTATTTCTTGCTTAACTAGCTAACTTAGATTAATGACTGTAAAGATGGAAACTGCTAGTTTAGCTTAGCATGAAGTCCTTCAACTGTCTGAAAGGCTTTCTGAGCTCAGCATAATGACTAAAGACTATAACTAAGCTATGCTAAGCTTAATCAGCCTTTCATCCAGTTATTTGTCATAGTGCTTGACATAAGAAGCAAAATGACTAAAACCTGGTGGAAAGGATAGTTAAGCTTAGCATGAAGACAAAAAATACTTAAAAGCTGTTTTAGCTTAGCATAATGAAAATAAACCAGACAAACTGCTAGCTAAGCTTAGCATGACAGAAGGAAACAGAGATACTTTATGTTAGCTTGATGACTCAGAACTTGGTGGAAAAAGCTTATTTAGCTCAGCACTAAGACTGATCACTGAGAGGATACGCTGATTTAGCTTTGCATAATGACAACGCTGGTGGAGAAGGCTAGTTTAGTTTAGCATAAAGACTAATTACTGATGGAAACAGTTTAGATCAGCATAATAATGATGACAGCTTAACTTGTGGAACTGATAACTTAGCATAAATCATGAAAACAGTGAAAAAGCTAGTTTAGCTTTGCATGAAAAAACAGGATGAAAGTTAGCTTGGCTGTGTTCAAAGGTTCATGACGACGGTTTGGTACACATAATCTTTTTGATGACACATTTTTAAAAACAATATAATTTGTTCGATCAATTTTAACAAAAGGTTATTAAAAGTTGGCCATTTTGTTTGTTCAGATCTTGATGTATTCATCACGTCAACCCGAGATCACAGCACTGACTGTCTCATGACTTGTTGTCTTGAGATCATCATGGAAAACACAGTAGAATTAAAGGTTTGTCCACTTGGGGTTTCCGTACGAGAGGATAGAAAAAGTAAAATATAGCAGGTTAAATCCTGCAGTGACGTAGCTCTGTTCAGAGCGCTGTTTCAAGCTGTGATTTTTACCTCAGATGTTTCTCCTTCAGTCTGAATGTCATGGCGGCGTAATGTGGGGAGGAAGTGACCCCCCCTCTGTACCGTCTTCAGAGGCGTTACAGAGGAGAGACGGGATCAGCTGAGCCAGCGGGGGAGAACAGCACTGTGTGTGTGCATGTCTGACTGAGTTTGTATGTGGAGCTCCCGCTGTGCCGTGCTTCCACAAAGCCGAAACGCAATGTGACCTCACAGACTGAGACGCAGATATTACGGCGTCGTGGAATCAGTAAGAAAGTAATAAGACGTGATGACGGCTGGGCTTAGTCATGGTGCTTTTGGAGAAACGTATTCTGAAAAGGGTTAATGGTGATGTTTTGGTACTGAAACGTTCTCAAGGTTTTTTGAAAACAGATTCAGAAGCTTCTTAAAGCGACAGCAGCTGTGAGAACCAGGAAGTTACACAAAGACGAGCAGACATGTAAACATGGACACCGTTTCATCCAAAACACTGGCTCCACAGGAAACATTTTTACTCATAACCTACTCAGAATCCAGATCTGAGTTCACTGAGGCCAGGCTAGCAGGCTCCACTCGTTTCCAGTCTTTGTGCTAAGCTAATCTGCTCTGTAGAAAAGAGGATTCATCTTTATGTTGAACCGTTCCTTTAACTGTTCCTATGTGTCAGTCAGCATCCTTATCCCACAAGCCTGCAACTACCACACACACACACACACACACACACACACACACACACACACACACACACACACACACACACACACACACACACACACACACACACACACACACACACACACACACACACACACACACACACACACACACACACACACACACACACACACACACACACACACACACACACACACACACACACACACACACACACACACACACACACACACACACACACACACAGTCTCTCTCTAAACACCTTCTGTGTCGTTCATCAGAACTTCGCGCGGGTCACATCGTTATGATGACGACATGATGCTCGATAAAAAAAAAAACATCTTCATGATTTATGATAAGTTTAAAATCTGATGGTTTGACGTGAACGTTCCAAACTCTAAAAACACGTTTAGGATCCTGCGACTTTCAGCGAGTGCAGCCGGATCAGTTCATAAATATGTGAGCTGTGAAGACACCTGTTCAGGTACGACCTGAGCAGCTCATCTCTCAGTCTGACATCACTCTGAACGTTCTTCACCTCAGGATTCATTTTTAACATCATCATGACTTTCCATAATTAAAAACAATAAATGACCAAACTCCGAGTGTCCAGGACTTCTGTTTCTGTTGCCATGGTATCAACACGTTTCGATCCTGGCTGGTACTGAAGTTTAAAAATCTGGTATTGTGACAACCCTAAGAACACTTGAGGATGACAAACTGATCAGTAGACGATGCTGCAGGAGTCAGAATGAACGGCGACCATGAACCACCTCAGAGGACGTGAGCGAGCGGGGGAGGGTGGGGGGGCAGGGGCTCCTCATTTCAGCAGAGCCTTGTAGAGCGTCAGAGAGCGAGCCGTGGTGCGGTCCTGCTCCAGACAGAAGATGAAGTCCCTGAGGTTAACTCGTGTGATCCGCTGACGGAGCTGCTGGCGTGAGGAGGCCGGCGAGGAGGAGCCGCCTGCACCCGAGCCTGACGCCACCTGAGGGAGGAGGGGGGGAGAGGGTTAGAGTCAGACTGGAGCTACAGTTATATCTCATTAGTCTGTTTCATTGTAGAAGCACGACGGAGAATTTGTTCACTGGACTCTTCTACAGGAGGTGGTGATGTCCCCAGGTCAGGTCAATACTTTTTTTTGTTATAGTTATTTTGCCTAAATTGGATGGGACAGCTGAAGAGAGACAGGACGTGTTGGGAGGAGAGAGAGAGGGATGACATGCAGCAAAAGGATTCAGACTACAGCCTCTGCACCGCTAGGCTATCAGTGGGCCATCAGTCAGAAAACCAACATGTTGACCTGTGATGTCAGAAACCAACATGTTGACCTGTGATGTCAGAAACCAACATGTTGACCTGTGATGTCAGAAACCAACATGTTGACCTGTGATGTCAGAAACCAACATGCTGACCTGTCAGGTCAGAAACCAACATGTTGGCCTGGTTAGGCGGACTCAACCTGTCCCAAGTCTGCTTCTCTATCTGAAGCGGGGTACACACTAAAAGATTCCCCCGTTGCGGCCCTAGTCAGCAAAGGCCCGATTATCTGATGGCTTCAAAGATTATCTTTACAGATTCTCCTGACGAGTGTTAAGAGGGATTTTGACTGATCTGCTCAGACATGTTCAATATTTTCTGTTGTGAGGGGAGAACACCAAGGACGGCCGAGCACGCACTCTTTGAATCATCAGGTGGAATGGAACAATAGCCAAGCAAGCTGACTGAAGCAGAAAGCACAACATACATAAGCATGGCTCTCCTGCTAAGGGGTGAATGTGTGAACAACCAGATCAGGAGGATTTCAGTGGCAGTCCTCCTGCAGTCCTCCTGAGGGGTGCAGATGTGAAAACGGCTTAGGACTTCCGTTTCTGTTGCCTTGGTAACAAACATTTATCGACATCATTTTGAATTGAACTGGAAGTTTAATAAAGTTCTGGTTTTGTGACAGCTTTTGAAAGGTTTATTTGTCTGAATAATTCCAACCAACGTTGAACCAGATCTCCCTTTAATCCCTCATTGAGTCCAGACCTGCAGGACGATCGCCACACCTTCCTGTCTCAGGTGTGTCTGCAGCATGAGGACAGGTAACACACGGGCCCTGCAGCTCTCAGACTGCTCCAACAGGCCCTCTTTCCCCTCTGAACACTGGGACCAAACCAGTTCACCTGACTGGGAGTTAAATTGCTATGGGGACTGACTCACTGCAGGAGACAGACTCTAGTGGACACTGGAGGAACTGCAGCTGTAAAGTTGGATATTTTAACATGTGGCTCTATGGGGACTGACTCACTGCAGGAGACAGACTGTAGTGGACACTGGAGGATCTTGTAGTTCTCCTGTGATATTATGAGCCTGTGTGTACAGCTCATGCTCCAGAAACAGACCCAGTGGGGCAGGGCGCACGCCCTCAAGACGGAGCAAAAGCGTGGCGCTGGTGGAACACCCCATGTGGAAATTGCGGGTTAGATTGATCTAACAGACGGGGTTCAGCTTCTGATGGAGTTTGAGGCTCTGTGCGTGTGTGTTTAGATGACTGAGCTGCAGTGTGTGTGTGTAGATAACTGAGCTGCAGCATGTGTGTGTGAGCAGAGCCTGCAGGCAGAGCTGACAGCACAGGACACAATCAGAGCATTATGAAGCCACACACACACACACACACACACACACACACACACACACACACACACACACACACACACACACACACACACACACACACACACACACACACACACACACACACACACACACACACACACACACACACACACACACACACACACACACACACACACACACACACACACACACACACACACACACACACACACACACACAGTATATGTGTCACTATAACATTATATGTTAAACAACCTAAACACTAAAAACAGTTCCTGTGTTTGTAGTTAAGGGGTTTCTCCCACCTGACTGATGACATCATCAGTCTCCTTGTGTCGTTCACCTTTAATCCACTCTGAACGTTTTCCTCCTGCAAAAAGTGAGGAGCCTCTCAGTCTGATGGGCCCTCGGGTGGCTGCAGTACGCCCTTTAGCTCCTGTCTGCAGGCCTGATCTGGCTTCAGATAGTCCCACCCTCCCCCGTCTTCCCCCGCCACCACCTCCCTCCCCCAGCACCCCGGGGCTGCAGCCTGTCATGAATACACGCTAGCAACGCCGCAGCTTTGTTCTCCTCCTGCGATAGAGGAACAACAAATAACCTGAAACTCCTTTCAGCAGATCGGGTCAGCAGGTTTCACATTCAGGATGTAAGGAACGTTCAGCACCTAATTTTTAGGGTCATCAACATGTTTTAGACGCTCGTACCTCATGTTTGATATCATCTGTTATTTTAATGATCAAAGCTGGAGAGAGCGAGGGTCGCTCCTCTCTAAACTAATGTAGAGTCAATCCCCCTCTAGTCACTCCCCTCCAGCTTTGCCTGCTCGTCCATTGGTTGCCAAACTATCTGTGCACTAGAGACAGTGTACAGAAGTTAACCTGCAACTGATGACCCAACATCGGGTGTCTAGGACTTCGATTTCTGTTGCCGTGGAATCAAAATCATCTGATTTTTACGCGAGCAGTATCGAAGTTATATTCTAAAACGATGACAGCTGGGTTCATGCAGCTGCATCACTGATATCAGGCCAGCACATAGCTCACATTTCCCAGAGTTCATTGCCCCCTGTCGGAGCTTCATCAACCCCCCCTTAAATGTTGGATTTCTCTGCAGGCCGCCCCCCCCATCACTCCACTCTTTGTCTGGGTGTGCTGGGGGGCGAGCCTCAGGCGGGATGTGTGTGGCGAGAGAGAGAGAGCATGTGGGTGAGGGCGGGGCAAAGCACGAGGCAGGAAGCTCCCCCAGGCTGTGAAACCTCCCCCCTCCCTCCCCTCTAACACCCTGCCCCGGGCTCATTTCTGCAGAGCTGAATCTATGGCTGCACCCCCAGGGGCAGAGAGGGGGAGCAGATAGAAGGGGGGGGGGGGGTCACACCCATAACAAAAGCTGCAGGCGGACACTGACCCCCTTCACTCAACTGTGGTCACAGTCAGAGTGATGGAAAAGGTCACACACACACACACACACACACACACACACACACACACACACACACACGTGTCCACAGAGCGCCCCGCTCGCCTGTTTTCAGCACTAAGTAACTTTGGCAGAAGTGCGTACGTCTTTACGAGTTGAGTCTTGCCGCCCGTCGCCATGACTACTGTCACTACTCTGGAGTTAAATGTAGTCAAACCTCCTCCAGACCCTTTCATGATGTAATCGTCAAGATTTTAAATCTGAAATATCAAACATGTTTGATATTAATCAAGGCGTCCCCAACCATCTCCAAGCTGATCTGGGACGTTAAGATCTTTATACGACTCACACTGCGAGATAATCGGTTCCAAGCAGCCTCGAGACGGGAACGACACCAAGATCCTCAAATCATCCCAATAATCTGCAGTCTGAGCCAGGATTCAGGATGTGACCCCTCATTCATCAAGGGGACATGAGCATGGGAACATGTAGAGTCAATCCCCCCTGAGTGTGTGTTTGATCTCTCACCTCTGTGCCAGCTGTCGACCCCCCCGGTGAGTCCATTTTGCGTTTCTTGCGCGGCCCGATGGCGGCGAGCGCTGTGAGGTTGGCGTCTCGTTGTCTCATCTGAGCCAGCTCCTGCTGCTGCATCTAAAAAGAGAAAAAACACAAATTAAAGTTCCTGACATACTTTAAATGCTAACCGCTGACTTCACCAGATTCACAGATCTCATCAACGATCAGACGGGGATCGCTGATTGGTTCAGAGACGCTCAGGTGATGTGAAGCAGAGGAGGTGAACAGGTAAATAAGGCGGAGCTGAAACAGTGCTTGTACCTCTTTAGCCTTCTGCTTCAGGCGAGCCTGCTCGGGATCTTCTTGTCTCGCTCGACTCTGCAGGAGAAACAAACACATTGACACGTTTACCTGAGAAGCTTTGAATACCTGACGGCTGCTCACAGGTGTGAGATGCACTGCAGAAAATGTATCATAAAATCTCTTTCAGTATAATGATCGATGGTGAACACAGTGATCCGTATTTATAAGTGCGTGTGTGTGTGTACCTTGGCAGCCTTCAGCAGGATCTCTCTCTCCTGCTCGTCTTTCCTCTGTTTCTCCATCCGCTCCAACTGCTCAAAGAAACGCAGCTGAGAGCGAACGTCCGACGTCGGCTCGTGATGCTCTTCATCCTGAGGAAGAGGAGGACAAAGAAGACGAAGAGGAGGAGGAGGAGAAAGAAGAAGAGGAAGAGGAGGAGGAGGAGAGAGGAGAAGAGGAGGAGGAGAAGCACGCAAAGTAAGAGAAGAAAGAAGAGCAGGAGTGGGAGGAGGAGGAGAAAGAAAACAAGGTGGAGAAAGAGGATGTGGAAGAGAAGGAGGAAGAAAAACAGAGTTTAGAGATGAAAGAGAACAAGACGAAGACATGGAGAATCGAGTATGTATGTGTGTGCGCGCGTGTGTTTGTGTGTCCTTGCCTTGCCCCCGTCCGATCTGTGCTGAGCGACGGCTGAAACCTTCTCAAGCAGCGAGCGCAGTCTGGACTGGGTGGCATGGGAGATGAAGTTAACCACCTCCAGGGGAACCTCGCTCACACCGAGCTTCTTAGCTGAGAGAGACACACACACACAAACACACACAAAAAGTGAAAACCTGTTCACCAAACCCACTTCCTGTTCTAAACCCTGACCTCTGACATTTCATCAGGTCATGTGCAGTGATAGGTGAGCGTACCTGTGTCCAGGATGCGCCGGTGCAGCAGGCCGGTGGGCAGGAAGGACTCGTCTTTACACGACCTGATCTTTGTCCCTACCAGCTCAGAGCTGGTTGCTAGGATACGGGCGTTTTCCTCATTGAGGTTGACGCCGGCCATGGACGCCACATCGTTGATGTCATCGTCATCTCTGAGGAAAGCAAAAAACAAAAACAATGATTTATTTAAATTTAGATACAAACATGAACACAAAACCAGAAATGTGAGTGTGCATGTGTGTGCACACACACTTCAGGACCTCTGCTCACACACTGCTGTGATGTCACACACATGGAGAGAGCACCCTGTACTGTAGACATGCTGCCCCTCCTGGCTGACCTGTGTACTGCAGGTTTAGGTTTTAAAGCATCCGACACTCATCAGTGATGTTTGTCTGTAAATTGAACTTCACATCTCTAATCTTCATGAATTATTATGAGATGATTTCTTGTTTTCCCCACATGTCCTGTTGCAGGATGAGTCAAAAGAGTTTTCACACCTTTAGTTTGTTTGCTCAGGTCTGAATCATGGACCAAGTTTCATATATACCTCACTACATATTATTAAGGTGATTCTTGTACTAAGATGGGCTCTGAGTCATGAAAAACAGACTAATGTATGTAAAGTTAGGCATTAAACACCCCCATAGAGCTGGAATGGAATGATCCTCCGGCTCTGAGACTGGCAGTCGACTGAGGCTCTGGCGGACGAATCGTTGAAGATTACATGATTTAGGGTCACTCCTAATATAAGCTAAAAAGTAAGGGCCCAAAAACTGAACCCTGTGGAACCCCATCGGCAAGTTTGGACAGATGACCGGGTTAAGTGTATTCGGAGACACTACTCTCTACATTCAAGATCAGATCTAAAACAAGATATTGCATCATTTGACAAATTAAAAAAGTTTATTTAAAAAGGCCTTTTTGGCTCACCGTATCAAAAAATACTTCTCCTACAACACTGCCTTCATCCAGTGACTGATTTATAGTTTCTAGAGACGCACTGTTCAGGGCCGGTACAGATGTTTGTTTCATGACTTCTTGTGGTGTCAGACTCCCACAATGCACCATGTTCTCTCATGTTTGACATGAAAACAAGTCAGAGTTTCTCCAACTGACTTCCCCTGCCCAATAAAAAAACTTCTCCTCTGACTCAGTAGTTCGGTGTTCTAGATGTCAGCATTCAATTGATTGACACAACAAATAAACATCAGCTACCGGCATTGGTTCATGACAAATTATTTGACAATGTTTGTCAACAGGATTGATATCAGCTTATGATGTTGAACCGGTGCATCAGCAAATGGACTCGAGCTTGTATATTTCTTTACACATTCGCACACTGATGGTAGAGGCTGCTGAGTAAAGAGTCCATCAGAAGTATCTTATCCCTGTCACACACATTCATACGATGCTGACGAAGCAAATTGGGGTTCAATGTCATGCCCAAGGACACAGTAACTTGTTCTACGTGTAAAATATCCCAAATTTATCCGAGCTAAAACAAAAGCTGCAGAAATGTTAGAAAGGTCACCTGAAAGTCCCGCCCCCAGGGTCACTCAGCTTCCTCTGATTGGCCTGAGCTGCAAGGTTAACAGGACTTTTTCCGATGATAGTTGTAGGTCCTCTAACGATATTCCCTGCAGAGAGAAAAACGTCAAACGGGATCAGATATGTTTCATCTAGGATTAGGGTTCATCTGTCTGATCACCTGATACTGCTGGACTCACCTTGAGGTCTGATACTTTGACTGAAGACGACAGGTGAGCGGGTCTGAACGCTCTGAGCACCTGCTCTGTTCACAGCCTGCAAGTCCACAGACAACACAACATTTAATTAAAATTAAATCAAGTTCATTTTTATCTGTTTTCTGTGTATTAAACTTGAACAGGTCTCCAGTCCTGGGTGTTTGCAGAGTGAGAGGACTCGTACCAGAGTGTTGGTGAGCGGCGGGTTCAGTCTGACTGTGCTGCTGGCCGGGCTGATGGGTAGGCGTGGTCTGATGGCGGTGGTGGTGACGGAGCCGGGGGCAGCAAGGGGGGGCACTGATGTGCTCGGGGTCACCAGGGACTGCTGACTGCTGAGCAGAGACTGACGGAGAGCGGGGAGACTTTTCTGTGGATTACAAAACAAAGAATTTGAATAAAGTTATATCAAATACTCAGTTAAAAATATATTATATTTGTGAATGAGCAAAATATATTAGAGCAAAAGAATACAAATTATCTTAGTATGAACATTAAACAAAGTGTTAACAGTAGACGTAGTGCTAACATTAGACGTAGTGCTAACATTAGACGTAGTGTTAACAGTAGACGTAGTGCTAACATTAGACGTAGTGCTAACATTAGACGTAGTGCTAACAGCAGACGTAGTGCTAACAGTAGATGTAGTGCTAACACTAGACGTAGTGCTAAGAGTAGACGTAGCACTAACAGTAGTAGAGTGCTAACAGTAGACATGGCGCTAACAGTAGACATGGCGCTAACAGTAGATGTAGCGCTAATAGTAGACGTAACGCTAACAGTAGCTGAGTGGTTGTAGTAGCGTTTGTACCTTGAGGAAGGGGATGAGGTAGGGCTGTGGGGAGGACTTGAGCTCAGCCTGCAGCCGAGTGGTGAACTCCTCAGGCTCGATCTTTGCATCCTGTAAACACAGACACCAGTTAGACCCCAAGCTGGGCATTAGTAACTCCCCTGTAACAGTAAGACCCAAGTTAGACCTACATTAGACTGCAGTTACTGCCATGTAAGACCTCAGTTTCACCCCAGTTTCACCGCAGTTAGACATGATTCCCTGTCCAGTTACATTCAAGTTAGTACCCAGGTAGAGATGTTTCACCCTCCAGTTACACTCCAGTTTGACCCCAGTTAGACAGTAGGTACCCTCCTGTAAACATAGATACATTCAAGTAAGACCCCATTTTGAACCCAGTTTGACCCCAGTTTGACAGCAGTAACCCTCCTGTAAACACAGACACCAGTTACACTCCAGTTTGACCCCAGTTAGGCCCATGGTAGACTCACATTCGGCATGATTCACCCTCCAGTTCCTATACAGTCAGAGCTAGGTATAGGGCGACTGGTACTAGTGTGAGTGCGCCCCAAGACCCCGGTTAGACCTCTTTGACCCAAGATTATACTAGGATAGACTTCAATTACATTCCAGTAAAATGCCCATTAGACTCCAATTTAATATCAGTTAGACTCCAGTCAAGCCCTTGTTTGACACCAGTTAGACCCCAGTGAAAAATTATAATGCTCCCATTAGACCAAGTTACAATTTGGGAAGATGCCAATTAGACCCCAGTTTAGATCCCAGTTTTGGCCCCCTTATACCCCAGTACAGACTCCTATGAACGAAGCAGCTCACCAGCAGGTCCTGCACCAGGGCCTTCACATTCTTGGAGGTATCTGGGGAGGGCGAGTTGTGGGATGCCAGCTTGATGAGCGTGGCGAGGAAGTTCTTGCATTTCTTCACGTTTTCTTGCATTTCCTGTTTGTAACAACACAATCAGTCAGTCAGGTGCTCACACAGGTGTCATGTTACATTACTCATGTCCATCTCGTGTCACAGTTAAAAATATAAATATAAATAAAATGTAAATTTGACCCAACCTGTGACACCACTGTGACTCTGTTAGCTGGCGTGGTGGTAGTGGTGGGCGGCGTGCTGGTATGGGGGGTAGTGGAGACTCCAGCTGGTTTGGCCGTAGGCGTCCCGCCTGCTGTGATCACAGTCTGGGCCTTCTGAGGGGGGGTCATCTTCACCGACACCGCAGCACCGCCAGGAGCCACCGTGATGGCCTTCTGAGAAACGACAAACACCACCAAGCATGGAAACGTTTCATTAAATGTTCAATTAAAACAGTTTATTTATTAAACCAACAGCTTGATGGAGTTCACGTTTGTTTTCTTTGAGTCTGATCTGTTTTTATGTTGATGCTGTTCATCAGTCCTACATTCGCTCTGAGGATGAGGAACAGCTGGCTGCCCCAGCAGTGCTGATATCTGCTCTGTCCCTGATTGGATATGTGTGTGTTTGTGTGTGAAGGTAGCACTCACCTGAACTGTGTTGGTGGAGGGAGAATGAACCATTCTGGTCTGAGCAGGGGTAGCTAAACGGACTGTCTGAGGAACCTGCAGACAACAAAGAAGAAAAAATATTATTTAAACAGGCTGCAGCAGGTAAACAGACTGTAACGTCTGCAGCAGATAAACAGACTGTAACGTGTGCAGCAGGTAAACAGACTGTAACGTGTGCAGCAGGTAAGACACCTTGTACCCACTTTCTCCAGGCGGCCTCCTGCTGCTGTAAACGCTCTCTACTCATTAGGAACAATTGAAAAAAGACGCTGGGCGCTCAGAATAAACGCCAGGCGACAAATATGTAGAGTTCATGAGGGTGTAGATTCAACACTGAATTGTGAACACGGCCTAAGTGTGTGACATTGTTACAGAAAGAATCCCTACAGAAAGAGACCACAAAGATCTGTCACATCACTCTCTACAAACACACACTACACTAAGAAAAACATAACTTTTACCTCTCAGGACTCAGGAGCTGCTGGTCTACCTCTGCCTCTATCAGGTAGTTTGAGTATTTTTGAATTAATCATCATATTTATCTAACAACTAAAAACTAACTGGATGAGGCAGCAGCTGACCTGAGTTCATAATGGTAAATCAGCTGTTTTGTTAATGAGTTCCGGCTGAAGATTTCACAATAACCTTTAAAGGCTCCTGCTCAGACACAAAAGACCAAAACAACCAGTCCCAAACATGAGGAAGACCAGATCCAGCAGTTATTAAAGACTAAGCTGCGTCACACATCTACATCTCAGCGTTATAATCTGTGTGACCCTCCGACACTTAAATGGCTACATTGTGAAGAGAAGCTCACGGCTCAGACGGGGATCAGACTCACCGTGGAGGCGGTGGAAACTCGGATGGTGGCTGCGGCGGTTGGCGTGGCTGGTCTCTGTGTGATATTGCTGACCGTCTGGCTCTGCTGCGTCTTTGCCTGAGCCTGAGCCAGGACCTGCTGAGGGACCATCACCAGCTGACCAGTCTCGGTCCGGACCAGAACCATACCTTAGGAGGAGACAGTTGTCATTTTTATTTTAAGGATCGATGGGATCAAAAGTACTGAAGCGTTAAAAAAAACTTCAGATTTCTTTCTCTGCAATTTTTATAATGAAAAATAATAAAATATATGTGTGTCTAAGATTTCTATTTGTGTTGCTGTGGTGTCAAATAGATATCATGCTCTGTGTCTCTCACCTGGCGGCATGGAGAACCCGGGGGGCAGCTGGATGGTGGTCTGCTGCTGAGGCCGGACCGCAATCTGGGGCTGAGGGGCCGCCGCTCTGGTGGGTGTAGCCACCAGCCCAGGCCTCTGTTGCTGGACGGTGGTGGCCCCCACAGCTACGCCCGGTGGTCTTACCAAGGCCACAGTGGGAGGGGCCACCCCATTCACGGCGGTCTTCATGCCCCCGGGAGCTGGACTGGTCCCTGTCTGGGTCTGACTGACGGGGGACTGAGCAGTGGGAGGGGGGGTGCTGGTCAGGATGACGGAGCTCCCGGAGGTGGGCTGGGTGGGCAGCAGTACCTTGGTGTGTAGAGGGGCCGTGCTGTGGTTCAGGACCTGAGGCGAGGGTGCACCCGGGACCACCAGTGGGGCTCCTTTGGGGTCCACTCCGTTCTGGGTCACTGGGCCAGTGTGTCTCTGCAGGGGTCCACCAGGGGTCACCGCTGAGGTCTGAGGTCAGAAGAGATCATTTAAGATCAAACAAGATAAAGATAGAGTCGTCAGCGTCCGCCTTCAGTCAGTTTCCTGTCTCCTTCAAAATAAAATACAGACTTCTCCTAAAGTGAAGCTGCTCCATCATCCCTTCTGGGCCTCCTTACATGTGTGGTGGTGACTGTGGCCGTTTCCGAATAGCCACAGTTCAGTAGGCAGTACGTACTTTTCAGTATGGAGTTTCAGTATACTGAACTTTAGTGGTCATTCAGTATGCATTTTTGTGTCCACCTCAGTATACTGAACATTTCAGTATGGATACTAACTTCCGGGTTTCATGCAGTATGGATCGGATGCGTGCTTTCAGGAAATGAATTGTATTTTACCACCCACAATGCTGTGCAAAATTAAACATAAATCGTCACGTCCGCCTCCAAATCAAAACAAACGAGCGTGGATTAATTGAATCAATTCTTAATCTAGAGTTAAAGTCCCGTCTGAAATCACTACTTTAAATTAACAGAAAATATAACAAATGTCTGCATTATTATAAAACCTTTCCCCCCTCTATTTAAATAATGATTTTACTATTTAAATGCGTCTTTATTGGTTTATTTTACTTTACTGTATATTACTGTCTTTCATTTGTACTTTCCTTTATGTACTGTATGTTGTTTAGTTATTTAATCTGTCTTTTACTTGATTTACATTGTGATATTGTTTTTTGTTTACCCGACTGTATATGCACATTACTCTTCTTAAATAAAGCTAAACAAAAAAAACAAACAAAAGAAAAACGGGTGGATGCGGCCGGTTCGGGTAACGTAAATGACGCCACTTCCATACTGAATGAATCAGACGAAGTAGGAACAAATATCTAGTAGGTACTAACAGTATACAGCACGGATAGTAGGTACTGCCTACTGACAGATTGAGTAGGTACTTGGCAATTCGGATACAGCCTGTGTCTGCAGAGACTCTGTCCTCTGACTGGATTTTACTGTTCTGCTTTTTTCTAGTTGACTCAGGATGTTTCTGGGCGGAGTTGGTGTGTTTCCTCCAGCCAATGAGAGCGCAGCAGGTGAGTTTAGGAGTGGATACAATTCAGCTATTGGACGCTATTCAAACTGGTGAATATGACGGACGTGGACATAGCATCAAAGAAGAGAAAATACAATCACAGTGAAAAGAAACACCAAGGGGATAAAGCTCGTTCTAAAACGAGGGTGAACCTTGTGTTGTCTTTTACCTGTGGACGTGGAGTTGGTCTACTTCCTGTTGGACAGGCAGGTGACAAACACCGGCTGTTAGCTTGTGCTAGCCTGCGTTAGCTTGCAGTGTAGCTACAAGCATTAAACGTACACACTACTTCCTGCAATCAACCAATCATTTGATGTTTGAAGTCGTGCACAGGAACGTGATGCTGCAGGATGGGTGGGTGTGGCCTCATGATGCATTCAGGTGCTGCTCTGATGGTTCCAGTTTCAGAGTTTGGGAGTCGTTCTTCAGACTTCAGCGTGTTCACGTGTTGTCAGTTCTAAAGGCTGAATGTTGTAACAACAACAACAAACAGCGTGGACGCTACGACGAAGAAGATGTGTGAATAACTCTGTTGCGAGTTATATTTGAGATAAAAGCTGATGTGAAATATGAGAATTGATTTTAAGTATTTTAACGTAAATCAAATTAACATCTTTCACATGTGATGACGAATATGACGTCTGGTCAAGTCGGGCACCTCATTCTTTCCCGAGTATCCGGGTTGTTGTTCTGACATGAGCAGGCGTTCATGAGCATTTTATAACTCAGACACTAAGTGTCCAGCAACACGTCGGAGGCGGAGGGCGTGCAAGGGGAGGGTCCCACTTTCGTGGTCATGCAACAAACATTTGTACTGACTCCAACTTTAAGGTAAGTTAAAATTTGATATGCAAAGTTAAGTTAACCATCACACTGTGCATCCAGACAGTAGCTAGCTACTCTCCCGGTTTACAATCGCTTAGCGACTCTCGCTGATGATGGATCTGAGTGCGTGCTTGTCCGCTGCTCTACCCCGTGGCGAGCACAGTCCACATCCTATCTGAAAGGCCCTTGTCTATCTCATGGTTGGCTGAGACTGTGTTTTTGTTTTTTTCTGGGGGGGGGGGGGGGGTCATGTGAGTTCTGTTCATGGGGCCCAGACATCCTGCAGACGGCCCTGCTACTTATCATTAAATAAAGCATGTTTGTCCAACACAGAATCAAACAAATGAAGACATGAAACCACAGCAGTAGATCTTTATAAACATGTGACACACACTCAGGGGATGAGGGGGGGGGGTGTTCTGTGAGAGAGGACGGAGAGACAGACCTGTTGGTGTCCGGGGAACCCGGGCTGTGAGGCCATGGGGGCGATGATCGTGGACCCCCCGGGACTGACAGTGCTGATAACAGACCCGCTCCCGACCGCTGGGGGGGCTGCGGGGGAGTTCACCAACTTCACAGCTCCGGGGCTGCCGTTCAAACTTTGTACTCCGGGAGACGCGGTCCGGATCGCCTCCCCCGGGGGGCCGGTGGTGGTGCTCGGACCCTGGACCGCCGCTCGGGGGAAGCTAGCAGCCCCGGACTGAGTGCTCAAAGTTCCGGGTCCCGGTGCGGGGGGGACGGTCGGTGAAGCTCCGACTGTCTGAGGAGCAACTGCGGCGGGAGTCACGGCCCCGGCGGACACAGAGGAGGTAGAGGAGGTGAGAGGTTTACCGGAAAGCGACTCATTAGCGCCCTGTTCTCCGGTTAACCCCGCTTTCTGATGCCCTTGTTGCGGCTCCACAGACCCCGGTGGCTCGCGCACTTTCCCTGAGAAGTGTGTAACCGGCGGCGGAGCTGCGTCCCGTTTCCCGTCGGAATAAGACGCCCCGGGTGCCTTTCGGTCGCCCAGCTGTGATTCCAGAGAGCCAACTAGGTCGCTAACTGCTTTCTCATCCACCTCATTGAAGAGCATGTCCTCCAGTGGGTCGGAGGCTCCCGCCATCTTTGATGTTACACCGTTGTGCAAATCGTATTTTAGAATGTACGCATGCGCGGAGGATCCGTGTTGTTTTGGAGCATAGAACTAGAAGAAGTAGATTTACCAGCGAGCTGATGGACTGCACAGGTGAGAGCTAGAGGTGAAACTCTCTGTAAACACTCGTTTCTATCAGCTGGAGTGAATTTAGAGTCTTTGAGAATATTTCACTGTGAGATTTTAACTTTTATTAGATCTTTTTTATTATTATTCTTAGAGCTTATAATGTAATACTCACTTATTTCTGCTAATACTTTATACATCTTCACAAACACAACTTTAATCACAGGCTTGTTTATTTGAACATTTATTTTTTATATTTTGAAAAATATAACAACAGTGACACACCCATAATTAATCATGATTTAATTTCAGTTTTTGCCACCAAAATAGTGTTTCCATACATCCCCTATTCATTATATATTTTATTAAATTAAGATATCACCACATTTTCCCTTGCCAACCTGTATCTTAACATCCTCCATCACGTGTTGCCATGGAAACCATCTGTCAAGGAATTTTGCATTTTGCAGTCTTATTTTAAAAGTTATCTTTTCCATTATGTAAATTCCTTTGACAACTAATTTCCAAGACTTGTGGGTTGGGGGGGGGGTCTCTCTTAAGCCAGTTCAATGTTATTGCCTTCTTGGCTGCTACGAGAAGTATATGTAATAAATACATCTTATTTCTGCTTTTCATGGTTTCTGGGACAGCCCCGAGGATGGCCAGTAGAGGGACCCTTGGTAGGTGGAGGTTAAATATTCCATCTAGAGAATCAAAAATCTGTCTCCAAAAGTTTTCTTGGAGAGGACAGTACCAAAATATATGAGCAAAGTTAGCAGATTCCTCCAACTCCTCCAACATAAACTTGATTGACTGGGGTCTATTTTGAAAGGATGTAGGGTGTTCTGAAAAATCTGTTCACTATTTTCCACTGGAATTCTCTCCATATGTTTGCGTTTGTGACTTCATGAATTTCTGAGGAAATTTTCACCCATGCCTCTCCACTAATTTCCAATTTCAACTGCCCCTCCCATTTATTTTTTACATTAAAGTTGTTTTCCTGTTTCATAACTGATAATGCTTTATATAGCATGGAAACAGGTCTCTTTAAGTGTTTTGTTTCTTGAATTTTGATCAGGTATTGTTCAATTAGGGAGCCACTTTCTGCAGGTTGGTCCAGTTAGCGTGTGTAAGCAGAAAACTTCTTATCTGTAGATATCTGAAGAAGTCTGATCTTGGTAGGTCATAATCATTACATAACTGTTGAAATGTTTTGACTTCCGGGCCTCCCATAAGCTGATGAACAAAGCAGAGGTTAAGGTTCCTCCATGTTTCATATCCAACATCCAGTTTTAAGGGAACTCATTTTTTTAGATAAGCAATACTTGATAATGTTGATATCTCCCTAGGAAGACTGAAAGTTTGTTGGACCTCCCTCCATGCAAAAAGAGTTGTTTTTGACTATCTACCAGAAATTCTTCCATCATTTTACTTTCAGAGAATGGAATGTTTGCCAATGGTATTTGAATACATGTGGACTTCTCAATATTAAGCCATCTTGTATCCACACTGTCTGAAATCCAGACGGCCAGAGTTCTTAATTGGCAGGCCAACCAATAGTGCCTGAGATGAGAAAGTTCCCACCCTCCTTGTTGTTTGGACAGCTGTAAAACTTTATATCTGACGCGTGGGCGCCTTCCCTGCCAAACGAACCTTGAAATGAGGCGATCTACAATTGTAAACATATTTTTTGGTGGTATAAGAGGCAGGGTTGAAAATAGAAATAGCAGCCGAGGTAAAACATTCATCTTAACAGTCTCTATTCTACCTGAGAGAGTAAGGGGACGCACCATCCATCTTTTAAGGTCTGCTGAAAGTTTTTCAATTAGTTTTTTATCATTTAAAACATAGAGTTTATCTAAATTCTGTGATATAGTGGTGCCGAGATATGTTATACCTTCTTTGGGTCATTTAAAGGAGAATGACGTTTTCATTTGGTCTGTGATAAGCAAATTCAGCGCTATAGCTTCTGTTTTGTTAACATTAACTTTATATCCTGAAAGACTACTGAATTTAGCTAAACAATTCATCAATCTCAGGATGGAGTTTATAGGGTCTGATATGTACATTAGAACGTCGTCAGCATATAGTGAGATTTTAGGATTTCATTGCAAATTTCTATCCCTTTAACTAATTTACTATCTTTATCACCTGTGCCAGTGGTTCAATTGATAGAGCAAATAGGAGAGGTGATAATGGGCACCCTTGACATGTTCCTCTAGCTAAAAGAAAAGGCTGAGACATATGCCCATTGACTCTGACAATACTTTGGGGGGTCTTGTACAGCAGTTTTATCCACCTGGTGAAATTAGGACCAATGTATCTATGGTTTTAAACAAAAAGGGCCAGGAAACACGGTCAAATGCCTTTTCTGCGTCCACTGCCAGTATCATGCATGGTTCTGGATAGTTTACACTGTGCTCTATAACATCAAGCAGTCTTCGAATGTTATCAGGTAAATGGCGACCCACTATATAGCCTGTCTGATCTGGGTGTATTACAGAATTTATTACAGATTTCACTCTCTTCGCTAATATTGATGTTAACAATTTACAATCTCTATTTAATAATACAATTGGCCTGTAGGATGCACAATCTGTATGATCTTTCTGTTGTTTAGGTATTACTGAGACTATCGCCTCCCTCCAGGCCAATGGCAACTAACCTTTCTCAAGTGCAACAGCGTACGCTCTCTCAAGCATTGGACTAATGATGTCAATAAAAACTTTGTAAAATTCATTTGTGACTCCATGTGTACCTGGACTTTTGTTATTTTTTAGATTTCTAATTGCGTCTTTGATTTCATCTTCTGTTATGGGCTGTCTATAAACTCAGATGAGACGGAATCTATTTTAGGAAGTTTTAAGTCTTTTAGATAGAAATTAATATTTTCTAAATTACTTTCATTATTTTGGTCAGAATACAACTCTCTATAAAATTTAGCAAAAGCCTCTGAAATGTCATTCGGTTTGTACAGAAAGTGTCAGGGCTATTACTTTGAATTTATTGAACTGTTGTGAGGTTACATTGTTTTCTAACCTGAAATGCCAGGAGGTGGCTAGCTCTGTTTCAGTTTTCATAATATTTTTGTTTGTTTAAATTTCTTTCAAGATTTTTAAGGTCCAATTTAGCCTCTTTGCGCTTATGTAAATTTTCCCTGGACATGTTTTCTTTATGTTGTTTTTCTAGCTTATTTACTTTTTCTTCCAGTTCTATTCATTTTGCTTCCCATATATTTTTTAGAATTGAAGCAAGTTTAATTATTTTGCCTCTCAGTGCCACTTTTGCTCCTTCCCAAAGTAAAATTGGGGATATATCTTTGTTGTTATGGTCTAGATAAAAACCAAATTCATCTCTTAAAGCAGCCTGAAACGACAATATTCCCAATAGGGAGGTATTCAGCCTCCATGTACTAGAGACGACTGCTCGTCCCACATCCCAAACCATAGACACTGGTGCATGGTCCGACAGGGTTATATTATGAATTTTGCATTCTAATGCTCTATAAAATTCACTCCTGGCAATAAAAAAAAGTATCAATCCTAGAGTATGTGGAGTGAGGGTGGGAATAAAATGTATAATCCCTATTCCTTGGATGTAGATTTCTCCAAATATCCATAAAGCCAAGCTCCTCCCAACTATTTTTAAGAGCCCTACTCATTGTCGTCTGACTTTGATTTGAAGTAGAGCTTTTATCTAGAAATGGGTCATATATGCTATTGAAATCTCCTCCCATCAGTAAGATCCCTTGCGATTTCTCTACCACTAGATCAAATATAGTTTTGATAAACTGTGGGCTATTTTCATTAGGGACATACACATTTAACATTGACACCCAAACTCCATTTACAGTTCCAGTAAAGTTCAAAACCTATCTACCCTCTTGGTCCTTAAATGAAGAGTCACAATTGAATTGGACTGATCTGTGTATCAAGATTGCTACCCCCCTTCTTCATCCAGATATATGAGAGGAATAAAACATTTGGGAGGGCCAAGTTTTAGTTCGTTTTTCATGCTCATTGTCAGATAGATGTGTCTCTTGTAGGTAGGCAATTTTACAATGCAGTTGTTTCAGTTTGAACCGTTTTTAATAAGGTGATCCAATAACATGACAAACTTAATGAGTGACATAGAGATAAAACAAGAGTAAGAATCCTGCTGTGATCCACTTCCAGACCACTGAGGAGTAGCACTTCAATCGTATCACTTGGTGATTTACAGTTTAGTTTGTTGTTGTTGTTACTGTTATGTCTGCTGATTATCACCTTCCTCAATTCACTATCTTTGGGTAGGGATGGAGGTCATCAGTTATTGGCAAGTGCTCAACCTGCCGGGGAACCCCTACCCCATCTCTTTTAACATATTGACGTTTTGTATTATTATAGGCTCTGAAGCGGGGTCAGAGAGAAACCACTTCTTTATGTCCAGTACACACAGACACATGTCCCAAGACTCTCTTTATTGAGTGGATGTATTTGTTTATGAACTGGATGTTGGTTAATTGACATCCTGGAACATTTGATTGATTTCGAGTTAAAATGTCTGAATAAATCCATGTGTGATGGGTCGGACACAAAAATAAAGTATTCATTCATGGGTCGCCGGTAGCGGATGGTGCGTGCGTCCAATGTATGGAGACTGTGGTCCCCTAGATGGGTGGCCCGGGTTGTAATCTAGCTTTGAGCTCCTTAACTGCATTATGTTCCTCTCTCACTCACCCTGATGTCCCACTCTATCCACGATTCTGTCTCTAAATAAAGGCATAAAAAGCCCCAAAATAAACAATAAATTGACAATAAAGTTTACTTTATTAAATTCAAATGCAGCTGACCAAAAACAAACATTATATCTGTTTCTGTTCTATCTGGCACAGATCTAGAGCTCCTGGCTGAACGTAATCGCGCGATACTATGAGTTCCCGTTAGCCCCCGCGCTCAGAGCCTTTCGATGGAGGATGAGGTAGCCATGTTGTAGCGGGGAGAAGAGCAGGTCTGTACGAGGGACAAAGCGGATATATTCAGCGTAGAATCGGTTCAGTTCGGCCCCACGGTTCGTCGGGACCGCCCATCCTGCCCTCTGATCGGACTGAAACCTTCCAGCAGGCACCATGAGCGGCGGGACGCCTTACCTGGGCAGTAAAATCAGCCTGATCTCGAAGGCCGAGATCCGCTACGAAGGGATCCTGTACACCATCGACACCGAGAACTCCACGGTGGCTCTGGCTAAAGGTAACCCGCTAATGCTAACGCGGCTAGTGTGGAGCTGCTGTTGTTGTCGTGTCTCTGAGGGACACACCTCCGCTCTTAAAGTCAGGACCGTCTTAAAAAGTGACGTTTAAAGACGAGACGACCCGCGTGAAGCCTCCAGAGCGCACAGGTGATCTCAACACCCCCCCACCACCCACGTGAACTCGAGAACATCATCCAGGTGGATTCAGGCTAATGCTAACGAGCCGCAGAGATGTCACTGATGCTGTTAGCAAACACACGTCACTACTAACGACGTCAATGAAAACTACCGATTACATGAAGCTTTAATTAGCATCAGAGCTATAGAGGCTAACATCATGAGTCAGCTAACATCTATTAAACTTCATTAATATCACATTTATTTACTTCAGACTCAAATTATTAACCGGCCTTTATTTTGAAATCTACTTGCTTTTATTTTGAAATTAACTTGTCGTCTTACAATAATCTTGCTTTTATTTTGAAATTAACTTGTTTACAATAATCTTGCTTTTATTTTGAAATTAACTTGTCTTCTTACAATAATCTTGCTTTTATTTTGAATTAACTTGTCTTCTTACAATAATCTTGCTTTTATTTTGAAATAAACCATCTTTTCTTTTTAAATTAACCATCCTTTATTTTGAATATAGCAAGCCTTTATTTTGAAATTGACTTGCTTTTATTTTGAAAATATTAAACTTAGCTTTTGACATTTCCATCATGCTTTATTTTAAAATTATTCTTCCTCTTTGTTTTTATCAGCCTTTATTATTTCGAAATTAACCAGCCTTTATTTAAAAAAATATGAATCCTTTATTTTGAAATGAACCCCTTCAGGGCTGCCACACACCAAACAGAAAACAAAGAGCAAGTGTGGATGAAAAGCGTCTCATTAAAGTTGTCGTTCATTAAGTTTCTGGCCCTTTCCGAAAAGCCACAGTTCAGTAGGCAGTACGTACTTTTCAGTATGGAGTTTCAGTATACTGAAGTCTTGTGGTCATTCAGTATGCATTTTTTGTCTCCACCTCAGTATACTGAACATTTCAAGAACTTGCTTTCAGGAAATGAATTGTATTTTACCACCTACAATGCTGTGAAAAATTAAATGTAAATCGTCACGTCCGCCTCCAAATCAAAACAAACAAGCGTGGATTAATTGAATCAATTCTTAATCTAGAGTTAAAGTCCCGACTGAAATCACGACTTTAAATTAACAACATAAAATGTAACAAATATCTGCATTATTATAAAACCTTTCTCCCTCTATTTAAATAATGATTTCACTATTTAAATGCGTCTTTATTGGTTTATTTTACTTTACTGTATATTACTGTCTTTCATTTGTACTTTTCTAAATGTACTGTATTTAATATTCAATTTATTTAATCTGTCTTTTACTTGATCTACGTTGTTATATTGTTTTTTTTTTACCTGACTCTATGCGCATTACTCTTCTTGAATAAAGCTAAACAAACAAAAAAACGGGTGGATGCGGCCGGTTCGGGAAACGTAAATGACGCCACTTCCTACTGAATGAATCAGACGAAGTAGGGACAAATATCTGGCTACTGAATAGTAGGTACTAAACAGTATACAGCACGGATAGTAGGTACTGTCTACTGACAGATTGAGTAGGTACTTGGCAATTCGGATGCATCCTCTGTTTTAATTAAAGGTCGTATTGTTTGATGTTGACTTGCTGACGGGCAGGGCGCATGTGTTGTTTCATCACCAAATCACAGCGCCAGCTACTGGCCTGCATGAATACTGCAGTGTTTAGTTTGTTTGGTGCATTCTTTCAGTGGGTCGTTGTCGTGGAAACGCGACATAAGGCAATAACATGAACTTTATTAAACAATGTTTAAATCACAATGTGAGCTTGCTTCAACCTGCGGTCCATGTCCTCTTTGACAGTCCGCTCCTTCGGCACCGAGGACCGGCCCACTGACCGGCCCATCCCCCCTCGAGATGACACCTTTGAGTACATCATCTTCAGAGGCAGCGACATCAAGGACCTGACGGTGTGCGAGCCGCCCAAGCCGACATGCTCTCTGCCTCAGGACCCGGCGATAGTCCAGGTAAACCCCGGCGCTCAGATGTGCAAAGTGTTGGTGCTTCAGGTAGCAGCGTTAAACCTCTCCTCTCTCGCCTCCTCCTCTTCCTCCTTTCTCTCTCCCGGCATCCTTTCTCCTCTCTCTCCTCTCGCTTTCTCCTCCTCTTCCTCTCTCTCCTCTCGCTTCCTCCTCCTCCTCTCTCTCTCTCTCTTCTCCTCCTCCTCCTCTCTCTCTCTCTCTCCTCCCCCTCCTCCTCTCTCTCTCCTCTTCCTCCTCCTCCACAGTCGTCCATGAGCTCCAGCTCCTTGTCTTCTGCTGCTGCTGCTCCGACTCCGTTCCAATCCGCTGGCTCCTACGGCCTCTTCAACCGAGCTCCTGTTCCGGCCTACAACCAGTTCACCGCCAGCCCCCTGGTGTCCCCCCAGTTTGGACCTGTTGGTGTTGGTAAGCACACAGCAGGTTTGTGGCGTATTAAACATTATTTGTTTGTCTGTTTTGTAGATCTAAGGGGGGCAGGGGGAGCATGATGACCCAGGTTTCAGGGTCTGCTCTTGTCTCCTGGTCCACGAAAATCACGGCAAAGAAACAGAGGAAGCGGGACTCGTGGCGTCATAGTGATATTAAACATTCTACTCTAACACAGATGTTTCCGGAGCATGCTCATTGAACTCGTTCACAGTGAGGGTGAGATGGAGCGTGAAGAGGGCGCTGAGTCTGAAGGCAAAGCTCTGGATTCACCGCTCAAGCTTCGTTCTGACCCTCACCTGAGGTCATGAGCTTTGAGTAGTGACAGAAAGATCAAAGATACAAGCGTCTGAAATGAGTTTCCTCTGGAGGGCGTCTGCACACAGAGGGAGGGGGAGGAGCTTAGACATTCAAGTGGAGGGACTTAGACATTCATGGGGAGGGGCTTAGACATTCAGGGGGATTGGCTTCGACCTTCAGGGGAGGGGCTTCGACATTCAGGGGAGGGGCTTAGACATTCAGGGGGAGCTCAGAGCAGAGCCGCGACTCCTTCACATCGAAAGGACGGCAGACTCATTTTTGTGTTCATGTGCTGTTAGCTCCGCCCCTTTTATGTAAAGATGGGCTCACACTAATACTGTGTCTCATCGCTGCTGCTGAGCCAATCAGTGCTCACTAATACTCTGGTTGATTTCAGTCATCATCAGTGACACTGACACTTCACTCTTCAGGTCGCAGCAGCCCCAGTCTGGACCCTCTGAGGAAGAGTCCCACCCTCGAGCAGGTGATCCAAACCGCCTCATCGGCCCCCACCGCCGCCCCCTCTGCTCCAGCCCCTGGCCTGGGGCGCAGGAGCCCCGCCCATGCTCGCACAGCCCCCTCCACGGCGGGCCAGGGAGGGCAGAAGGTGCAGCAACAGCAGGATGGTGTGGACACGAGGAGGGGTGAGACTATCAGGGGAGGCCGCAGCAGCTGGTCTGCACCCCGAACCATCTCCGCCTCTCACATCAGTGCTGTAGATAGAGCGTCAGCTGCAGGCCCCGCCCACTCTGTCTTTAGCCATGCAGGTGAGACTCAGGTGTATTTCTGCTGTTCTGTTTGTGTTTCCATCCTGGGCGCTCTGAAATGTTTTTAATGTTTTTATTCACATCCGTGCTCAAAGTGTCGCCATGACAACAGGATTTAGACTCTGAAAGACGATACCTGTTTGTTACCACGGCAACAAAAGAAGTTGTTGTAGACGCCGGATTTTCTATAATTTATGACTTCACTGATCGAACATGGCAGACAGACGCAGGCACAACGTTCGTTTTGTTTCATCTTGAGTCGGCTGCAGCGCTCACGGCTGCTCTCTCCTTCCATCAAACTCAAATGCTGTCCAGTCACCTGGACATGAGTTTCATCTTCTCGACCTCGGCACGATCGCACTAACGGGGTTAGTGCATGGTGTTATTTCTGCTTTAAGCTCACGAGGTGAAACACTGAACGTGTGTTTCTATGATTTGGAAGTTTAACGCCACAGACCTCAAACTGCTCGTCACGCCTTCGGAGTGATGTGTCCCTAGAGAGCCGCCCGAGCTGCAGTGATGGTGCTCGCTGCGTTTGCGGCGTGTATGTAGCTGGAGATGTGTGACGGGCATCAGGGTGGTTAGTATGACTCGTGTTGTAAAGCGTGCGGCATGCTCAGGCCTGCTGGTCATTTCCTGTGTGTGATCCGTCACGCTCTCCTCCAGAGGTTGCTCATGGTGTTTCCTGTGTGATGGCAGGAAGCTAGCGGACACTAAACAGACTCTGCTGTTCCAGGCGCAGACGGCCCCAAAGCGGTGAAAGGCGAGTGTGAGCAGGCGCGAGGCGAAGGCGGGGAGCCTGGTAAACAGCCCTCTGCATGCTCGTCTCCTCCACTCATCCCTCATCACGCTCTCTGTGACCGTGTGTCCACGTTCTGCTCATGTCAACACAGTGGAGACGATGGCGACTCAGCCGCTACCACAATGCATTTCCTCCATGTTTGTTTCTGCAGTGGCGTTTATTGATTCTCCGTCACGCCGTCAGCTCTGTGGACGTGTCCTTTGCTCCTTCATGTGTTTGTGTTGACTGGTGTTTCTTATCAAACAGCTGATGTTTATTTTGATTCTCCCTCTAGCGGCTCAGGGAGCACCGGCCAACCGGCGTGTGCGAGGCAGTGGCTACCGTGGAAGAGGGCGCTTTAATGTTCGCCGAGACGGACCGATGAAGTTCGAGAAGGACTTTGACTTTGAGAGTGCCAATGCCCAGTTCAACAAGGAGGAGATCGACAAAGAGTTTCAGAGCAAGCTGAAGCTGAAAGGTGAGATAGCTTTTCATCGCTTCTCCCTCACCGACCAATCAGAATCAAGAAGGGGCAGGACAATAGCGGAGGAGACGCTGGTCTGCCTCGTGTTTTGGAGGGAACAGTTTCAGGAGCGGCTGCTGATGTCAGGACACGATATTAAAACACACCTGACAGTCACAGCAAGGGGAGGAGGAGGTTCATCTCCCCTCCTCTTCCCTTCTCCTCTGTCCTCATCTCCCCTCCTCTTCCCTTCTCCTCTGTCCTCATCTCCCCTCCTCTTCTCTTCTCCTCTGTCCTCATCTCCCCTCCTCTTCTCTTCTCCTCTGTCCTCATCTCTCCCCCTGTCTCCTCCTCTCTCCTCTCCCCTCTCCTCCTCCCCCATTCTATCTCCTCGTCTTCCCTCCTCTCTCCTGTCTCTTAGTCCTCGCACGAGTAGCGCTCTGACACTGAGGTCGTGAGCGCTGCAGTCTGTGCGTCCCATGTATGGAGGCTGTAGTCCTCCAAGCGGGCAGCGCAGGATCGAATCCGGCCTGTGGCTCCTTTCCCGCATGTCAGTCCCCCCCATCTCTCTCTCTCTCTCTCTCTCTCTGTGTCTCTCTCTCTCTCTCTCAATTCAATTCAAATGAGCTTTATTGGCATGACAGATCAACAATCCATGTTGCTAAAGCAGTACAGGAAATAAATGTTGATCAACAAATGATTACAATATATACAGTATACAAATATAATAAATATAAATGAAAAACATTAAGAATAATATGAATTATTTTTACGGTGTATTTCTAAGAAACATTAAGTGTATTTTGTCTTAGTATGTGACAGTCATGAACATATTTAGTAGCTCGTACTGCACACAGACTTTTCTCTCCACATAGATAGAGCAGCTTCTAAGGATCAGGGAGATGGAGAAAGTCAGGATATTTATTATAAATGTAATCAAAGAGAGCTTCTCTTAAATCTTTATACATGTCACAGTGTAGGAGGAAGTGAGATTCTGTCTCCACTTGTCCTTGATGGCAGAGTGAACACAGCCTGGCCTCTCCGGTTAACCAGTTCTGTCTGTAACGGCCTGTTTCTATGGTCAGACTGTGTCCACTCAGTCTGTACATCATCATCGTTTTCCTTAGTTTCACATCCCTCACTGTGTTCAGGTACTCTGCCAGCTTGTACTCTCTGTTTAGGCTCAAATAGAATTCTAATTTACTTTGTGATTTGGTGCTTTCCTTCCAATATTTGATATAATTGTCTTTTTGTTTTGAGATAATTTGGTTTTGGATTGTTTGGGGTGTGTCCTGAAGCCCTGGTGTTTGAGGGCGGAGCTTCAGGATCAGCTGGCAGAGGGGACTCTTAACTGGGTTCAGCTCTTGGCACTGAAGGGCTTTGAACTGGTAGGAGTGGCGGTCATTGGATTGGAGGTGTTTATAGAATGTGATGGCTCTCTTTTGGATGTTAATGATTAAAGGGTATTGGCCGAGTTCTGCCCTGCATGCATTACTGGCCGTGTGTCTGTGGACTCTCAGGATGTTTCTACACAGTTCTGCTTGCAGGGCTTCCAGCAGGGTTTTTTCCCCATTTGGGGAAGTCGTGGTTGGTTAATGGGCCCCATACTTCACTACCATATAAAATGATTGGGTCTATTATTGAATTGAGAATTTTGAGCCAGGTCCTAATTGGAATGTCAATCTGAATTTTTCTTTTGATGGCTTAGAAAGTCCTTCTTCCTCTCTTTCAGCTCATTCACAGCCATGCCAAAATGTCCAGTGAGAGTGATGACTAAGCCGAAATATGTGTATTGTTTGGTGTGCTGGATTTCTATGTTTCCTAATGTGAATGTGTTTCTCTGAGAGTTGGATCTGCTTTGGAAGGTCATTATTTTGTTCTTGTTCATATTGACAGTAAGTGCCCATGTTTGGCTGAACTTGTGGAGAATGTCCAGGCTCTGCTGTAAACCCTCTGGGGAGGGAGACAGGAGAACCAGGTCATCAGGAAACATCAGACATTTGACCTCTGTGTCCTGCAGGGTCACACCAGGAGCTGTGGACTTCTGCAGTTGTTCTGTGAATGTATTCATATATATGTTAAAGAGGGTTGGGCTCATGTTGCAGCCCTGTTTCACCCCATGGTACTGCCTGAAATAATTTGTTTTTTTTTCCAATTTTAATTGCACATCTGTTATTTAAATACATGGTTTTAATTAAATCATCACCACTTTCTAGTAATCGGTAAAAGAGTCCTTCATGCCAAATTGAGTCAAAGGCCTTCCTGAAGTCTATATATTTTTTTATTTTGGTGTACATGGTGGTTAATGAGCTTGAGGTATGAATCCAATCTGACTTTTATGCAGGACGTTGCTTTTAAGAAGTCAGTGGTCCGGGAGTTTATGATGCTGCAGAGCACTTTGCCCAAAGTAGTTCTGAGGGTCACTTTTGTCACCAAGTTTAAATATTGGTGTAATAAGACCTTGACTCCAACTCTCAGGGAACTATCCCACACTCACATTGAATAATTTGAGAATTGCCAATTGGAATTGTTCTGTGCTGTATTTTAGCATTTTGTTCAGTATGCCATCAGGGCCACATGCTTTTTTGTTTTTGAGGGTCTTTAATTTAGTTTTCAGGTGGTTTTCAAATTAACAGGGAGATGTAGGGGGTTTTGGTAGTCTTTGATGACCAGTTCCATATTTTGTAGTTTTTCTAGTATTTTAATGGTTTCAGAGTCAGTTCCTGGTGGTTTAGGGACTGGAAATGTTTTATGGATTATATGATATCTATCTCTCTCTCTCCCTCTCCCTCTCTGTCTCGCCCTCTCTCTGTCTCACTCTCTCTCCCTGTCTCTATGTCTCTCTCTCTTTCTCTCTCTGTCTGTCTCTCTCTCTCTCTCTCCGTCTCTGTCTCTCTCTATCTCTCTCCCCCCCTCTCTCTCTCTTTCTCTCTCTGTCTCTCTCTCTGTCTGTCTCTCTCTCTCTCTCCTCTCTCCGTCTCTGTCTCTCTCTCCCTCTCTTTCTCTCTCTGTCTCTCTCTCTGTCTGTCTCTCTCTCCTCTGTCTGTCTCTCTCTCTCTCTCTCTCCGTCTGTCTCTCTCTCCCTCTCTTTTCTCTCTGTCTCTCCTCTCTCTCTCTCTCTCTCCGTCTCTGTCTCTCTCTCCCTCTCTTTCTCTCTCTGTCTCTCCCTCTCTCTCTCTCTCTCTCCGTCTCTATCTCTCTCTCTCTCTGTTTCTTATGTGTAAATAGTCGTGTTTCTTTTCTCATCTTTTCATCCTCTCAGACGAGAAGGCGGAGAAGGCGGTGAACGGGGAGGAGAAAGGCGACTCTGCTGTTGAAACTCAGAACAGCGAGGGGAACGCTGAAGAGGAGGGTGACCCGCTGGGACCCAACTGCTACTACGACAAGTCCAAGTCCTTCTTCGACAACATCTCATGTGACGACACCAGGTACGAGTCGGGGTCAGGTGGGCCTGTGGGTGAATGTTGAGAGGAGGAATGCAGACAGAAAGGACACGGTGACTCTGCACTTCTGTCTCTGCACGCAAAGAACTAATACACTCTGTTTGTCTTTCAGGAAAGCAAACGAGAAGTCTGGAGGCTCCGTGTTCCCAAGGTGAGTGGACGAGAGAGGGAGAGGGGGAGAGAGATAGAGAGGCCATACTAACCACAATGTTACCAGCTCCCCTATTGAGTGTGATTTAAAGTGTGTAAACTAACCCGGGGACTTTGTGATGGTTGTTTTTGTGACGCTCTTCCTCCTTCTCCTGCAGGGAGCGGAGGCAGACCTGGGCGGAGGAGAGGAGGATGAACGCCGAGACATTCGGCATCCCTCTCCGTCAGGGCAGAGGACGCGGAGGTTACCGCGGCCGGGGAGGGATGGGCTACCGTGGAGGGCGGGGCGGTTCATCTGAGAAACATTCAAAACAAGAAAAAAAGTCCAGATCTCTTCACGCTAACGTGACGGTGGCTGGAGTGTAAATGTCATTTTGTTTCTGGGATGTTTTTGTTCTTCATACTGATCTTCCCTGAACCTGTACTGATCCTGCTCTGTTAGCGTCCAGGTTACACTCACATACTTTATTTTGGGGGCGGAGTCACGGGGGCTCCGGCGCACCTTTCTAACATATTTTTCTACTCTCTCACGTAGGCTCACTCTCACGTCTCCTTCTTCTCGCCGTGCTCCTCGTTTCTGTTCTCGCTCGCCTCACTACGTGTCACGTTTCAGCTTTAGTGTCGGGAGCAGCGGGGCTCGTTTTTACTCGTTCACAGTAGGATTGTAGGTCACCATGAAGCTGCTGCGCCGTCAGAGCTGCAGGTTCATGAAGCTGCTGCGCCTTCAGAGCTGCAGGTTCATGAAGCTGCTGCGCCTTCAGAGCTGCAGGTTCATGAAGCTGCTGCGCCGTCAGAGCTGCAGATTCATGAAGCTGCTGCGCCGTCAGAGCTGCAGGTTCATGAAGCTGCTGCGCCTTCAGAGCGCCGTCAGAGCTGCAGGTTCATGAAGCTGCTGCGCCTTCAGAGCTGCAGGTTCATGAAGCTGCTGCGCCGTCAGAGCTGCAGGTTCATGAAGCTGCTGCGCTCCGATGTGTCTAAACTAGCGTCTCACTTCTCAAATATTCAAACTCAAAGAACTTCAAAGAGAAGGAGCAGGCAGGTGTTCAGTCGTAGTTTCTTTAGATGTTAATTTATCCTCAGCTGATTTGTTTCTCATTGTGATGTTGTGAACCAATCACAGCACAGAAAACTAAGAAGTGTTTTTTTTATATTTCCCTGATGTTCTGAAGAGAGAAAACGTCTTCATGACGAGATCAGAAGAAAATTTCCCTTCGATAGATCGAAGAATGTCCCGGAAGTCGGCTGCGCCTTCAGAGCTGCAGGTTCATGAAGCTGCTGCGCCTTCAGAGCTGCAGGTTCATGAAGCTGCTGCGCCTTCAGAGCTGCAGGTTCATGAAGCTGCTGCGCCGTCAGAGCTGCAGGTTCATGAAGCTGCTGCGCTCCGATGTGTCTAAACTAGCGTCTCACTTCTCAAATATTCAAACTCAAAGAACTTCAAAGAGAAGGAGCAGGCAGGTGTTCAGTCGTAGTTTCTTTAGATGTTAATTTATCCTCAGCTGATTTGTTTCTCATTGTGATGTTGTGAACCAATCACAGCACAGAAAACTAAGAAGTGTTTTTTTTATATTTCCCTGATGTTCTGAAGAGAGAAAACGTCTTCATGACGAGATCAGAAGAAAATTTCCCTTCGATAGATCGAAGAATGTCCCGGAAGTCGTCATCCTTTTACAATAAACAAACAAACAGTAAATAAATAAAAACAGCATCAATGAAGTGATGTAAACAAAGGTCGATCAGAGCTGAAGGATCGTCCTCGCAGCGCCTGATTGGCTGCTGCAGGATGACCTCGTCTCTAAATATTTACTTTGAATCAGAGAAACATGAAACACTTGTTTGGCTTCTCAGATCGTCACCTTCGTTACAAAGATAAACTTTATACTGAGTCATTCTGACCTTCATCTTCACGCTCGCTCCTCCAGGTACAATCACTCGTTCAGAGTGTGCGTGCGGCGTGCGTGGTCCTTCGTGACTCACTTTCCGTCTTGAATGCTTTAAAGGTTTCCTGTGGTCGCCTCTTTAATAAACGACCCCTCAGCTCGCTAGCTTCACGCTCAGCGAATGATAGAAACACGGTTTAAAACCTCTGTCTGATGAAGTCCCCCGGCGCCATCCTGCCCTGGCATTATAAGTACTTCTAGACGTGGACTTGCACTTTGAAAAGGCGAGGAGAAGTCCGTCCTGACTTCATTTTGTCGACCTTAAAAAATAGAAATCTGTAATATTTATTAGTTCTGTTCTTAAAGACGAATCTGAACGTTTGACTCCGTTTCTCTCCACGCCACTTGCTCCGGTTTTAAAGGTTATTCAAAATATCTTCAGAATCAAACCGTCAGCAATGGCAAGACATGCAGAGGCGTGGAGAACATTACGTGAAGATCAATCAGCTTTTGATGAATCAGCGTTTACAAGCGTCTGCACGCTGACCATGAATTAAATGCCTCTTAGTGTCCTCGCTGTTTGAAGACGTAACGTTTTAAACCACGGAGAGAAAGTGCAGCTCGTTCTCTGACCGCAATTAAATCTAAAGATTCAATTCATCTCTTTTTATTTCTTCGTCAGACGATTTGAACGAAAGGCTCAGATTTGACGTCGGGCATTGCGGTGGCGTTGAGAGCGGGCGGGATGTGTAGGCGTGTGGGTGTCTGATGGCACTGTGCCCTTGACTTCCTGTCTGCTCTCAACAGCATGCGGCGCTCGTGTCTGTTGGTGGCCTCACGGCTCAGTCGACTCTGATTTGTTGATGCAATACGTGAAAGGAGCGTCCCCAGGTGATAAACGGCGAGCTGAGGCCGGTCGGGGTTTCTTTTTTTTAGCTTGACTTCCTGTTTGAACCTGTGGAGTCAGCATGGCGTCCTCCTCTGTGGGCCTCTGGGGTTTTTATTAAGAGCAAATAATAAATAAAACTGTTGTTCAATAGTCTCCGCCTCCGTCTCCTTCATGTGTCAAAGTTCATTAAACACCGAGTCCACGGCCCCGTCTGCAACCATCAACCGATCAGCACCTGAACTGTCTGCCAGATCAGAACCTACAACACTTCAATCAGCCTGGCGTGATCAGAACCTGGCCCGTCTTAAGGGGAAGGAAATACAGGATCTTTGTCCTGATGGGTCTGAAATCCTTCCTCCTGTGAATAAAGTTCATGTTGCTAAGCTGCAGATTAAAGCTCCATCATGATTTACAGAAACCGTTCTGTTTTGTGGATCACCTCCCTGCATCACCATGGTAACTTCAAATGATCTTATGTAGTCTTTATTTGGCACTAAGCGTTCTCCATATGCCCCACAGTCCTTTCATCATGAGCCCCCTTGTGGCAGATTTTATATATTGTGTTTCATGAGCTTTCTTTTGTTTTAAAATGTACGGAAGCCTTCTACAGTCAAACTTTAAACTAAAGCTGCTGCACAAAGGACTATTTTCATTTTCTGGCATGATTAACTCACATCAAGCTGATGCTGAAGTGTAAAATCCTGCAGTTCCTTGAGTGTCCACTAGAGGCTGGCTGCAGAAGCACAGGAAGTCACGTACACACCCATTCTAAAAAGCCTCTTTTTACAGCAGAGATCAACATGTTTACAGCTCCAAAACAAATTGGTCTAATTAGCTCATGTCTCGATCGACACACACTGTACGGTGGGGTGAATGTTTTGATGAATCATCAGTTTTGATGTATGTTTCAAAGGAACCACCATCATACCTGTGCCAAAGAAGTCCTCTCCATCCTGCTTCAATGACTATCGCCCTGTCGCATTAACCCCCATCCTAATGAAATGCTTTGAAAGGATAGTCATCTTGCCACAAATCTTGACCCGTTCCAGTTGCATACTGAGCCAACCAGTCCACTGAGGACGCAATCTGCTCTGCTCTCCACCCGGCTCTCACCCACTTAGACACAAAGACTCTTATGTGAGAATGCCGTTCATAGACTTCAGCTCAGCATTTAGCAATATCATACCACAACAGCTGATCTGGAAACTGGACCGACTGGGCTTCAGTATTCCCTCTGCAACTGGCTGCTGGACGTCCTCAGTGAGAGGCCACAAGCAGTACAGGTCAGCAACAACATCTCAAGCACCATCACACTAAGGACAGGGACACCCCAGGGATGTGTGCTCGGTCCGCTGCTCTTCACCCTGCTGACCCATGACTGCACACCTTGAGCACCACATTGTGAAGTTTGTGGATGACACAGCTGTAGTCTGTCCAACAATGATGAGACAAACTACAGGAAGGAGGTCAGCCATCTGACCACGTGTTGCAGAGACAACAACCTCCTGCATAATGTGGGCAAGACCAAGGAGACTGTCGTCGACTTCCGGAGAGGCCACAGGCAGCACCCCCCCACTCACCATCAAAGGCTCTGCTGTGGACAGGGTGAGCAGCACTACATGTCTCGGGGTGCACGTCAGTGAGGACCTCTCCTGGAATAGCAACACTGCATCACTGGCCAAGAAAGGACAGTAGCGACTTTACTTCCTACGCAAACTGAAGAAGGCGAGAGCCCCCCCACCCATCATGTGCTCCTTCTACAGGGGCACCATCGAGAGCATCCTGACCAGCTGCATCACTTTGTGGTACAGGAACTGCACCACCCACAACCTCAAGACACTGCAGCGCTTAGTGAAGACAGCAGGAAAGATCATCCCTCCCTCCTGGACACCTACAACACCCCCCTCACCCGAGAAGCATCCATTGTTGTTTTTCTGAAAGCACATCTTTGCACATTATTTTGTATACCTGTTTTTTTTATCCTGTATATTTTGTATCATTGCATATATTTTAAAAACCTTTTTATTCTTTAGCTTGCATCGTGGTTCGGAGAGAAACGTTTTTTCGAACATATGGAAAAATTGACAATAAAGATCAATCAATCAATCAATCAATTTTTATTTGTATAGCGTCAACTCATAACAAGTGTTATCTCGAGACACTTTACAAAAAGCAGGTAAAATACGTTACTCTTTGTCTGTTAACATTACAAAAGAGCAGGTAAAAAGACCTTACTCATTGTTATGATACAAAAAGCAGGTAAAAGACCTTACTTATTGCTATAGTACCACGATCCGGCCTATCCATCATGAGCACTTTAGCAAAGCAGCAAAAGTTACAGTGGTAAGAAAAAACTGCCTTATTAAAAGGCAGAAATCTTCAGCCGGATCCCCGGCTCATGACGAAACAGCCTTCACAGGCCTAGACTGCGCCGGGGTTGGAAAGGGATAGGGGGGAGAGATAGGGAGCAAGGGGGTGGGGGGGTGGCGGGAGGCAAGCCGTCCATCAACAATCCGGTGGGGAGGGGGTTGTTCTGGCAGGCCGTCAACCAACGATCTTGAGGAGCCTAAGAGAGCTCAAGAGCTCCCAGGAAAGTAGGTGGTTAGTGACTGAGATTTACAGATAGATACATGCAGTAATATGATGTACTGTATATGCACACAGAGAGAGAGAGAGAGGAGCTCAAGGTGCCAGTTCCCCCGGTAGTCTAAGCCTATAGCAGCATAACTAAGAGCTGGTCTACACCAGCACCAGCCCTAACTATAAGATTTATCAAAAAGGAAAGTTTTAAGTCTATTCTTACAAATACAGACTGTGTCTGCCTCCTGGACCTCGGCTGGAAGGCGGTTCCAGAGGAGAGGAGCCCGATAACTGAAGGCTTTACCTCCCATAGTACACTTAGAGACTGTAGGTACCACAAGCAGGCCTGCATTCTGGGACCGTAATGTTCTCGAGGGACGAGCACTAGTAGCTCCTTAAGATAAGATGGTGCCTGGCCATTTAGAGCTTTGTAAGTGAGAAGAAGGATCTTGAATTCTATTCTAGACTGTATAGGGAGCCAGTGCAGAGAAGCCAACACAGGAGTAATGTGGTCCCTTTTCCTAGTTCTAGTCAGTACACGAGCTGCAGGGATCTGGACTAGTTGAAGAGTGACTCATCCGTTTTGATTTGATGAAGAATAGAATAGAATAGAACTTTATTTATCCACAAAGTGGAAAATTGTCTTTGGCTTCACAAGAACAAGACAGAAAAAACATTATGACAAACAAGACAACATTCAAGCACAGCAGGAAACCAGGAGAGTGCCTGTAGTCCTCGACAACATCACAGTCAGCATGGTTCAAGAATCTAAAAT